CCCTAACCCCTAACCCCTAACCCCTAACCCCTAACCCCTAACCCCTAACCCCTAAACCCCTAACCCCTAACCCCTAACCCCTAACCCCTAACCCCTAACCCCTAAGCTATAATGTCTGAAGCAGTGTGAATAGCTCTTGGGTGAGGGTAGAGATATTGGCTTCTATAATAATAGTGGATGATAGTGTTTATGGCTAATGCTCAATTCATACTTCAGTGTAGATATTGGGTAATCGACAATCTGCTTCTGTCCTAGAGTACAGATATATATATCTGGTGGTTCTACAACAAAATCAGTGATATGGTATGGTCATGTGGTAGAAAAGTGGGTCTTTCCGGTCGCACCCCATCAAAAAAAACCCTAGGATTTTGACAAATTTGAATCAATTCGTATACCCTATCTAGTAGACTGATTGATTTGTAACTTCATATGGATAAAATTCAGATAGTAGCATAGACTTTCTGAAAGTTTCAGGACAATCCAACCACTGGGGCCGAATGCAGTCAGGGTCTGAAAATCGACTGCAGTCTACCCTGTGGGTCCAATTCTTTACTATGGGCAGAACTTTTGACCGCCGTGCAGTCTACCCTGACTGCACCACCCCCCGTGGGATAGGCCTTGATTCTATAGTGCTTCCTGAATATTATCTTCCTCCCTTCTCTCCGAATCATTGTATCCTTGCCCGACTAACAGGGCAATACATCTGCAAACGTATCACCTTTACGGTAAAGCTCACACCCTTGGTTAGGCTCTCAATGACCTTACTAAGCTCATCCCCTATTTATTCTGCACTTTCTGTAGCATATGAAAATCACACTCTCAAGTACTCAATTGGCTATGCCCGTACTAGTCCGTACTGTAACGATCACGTTCCAACACAAGGCAAAAACCGGAGGCTCTTTATCACCGAAGGTTATCTCATGACGTAACATCTCGGCCGAAAGGGAGTCGGGTCAGAGGTGCGCGTCACTTCAACCACCGCGCTTGCTTGGTTACCTCGATGGACCTGCCAATTACAATCAATATCGAGCGCGCAGTCTGTAAGAATGAAATGAGCTCGGCTCAATCCCGGGAGTTTTCGGCTTCACTGTCGGGGATGATCAAGATCCAAGAAGATAAGATTGCAAATGTGCAAGCTATAAAAGCAGATCCCTTCTCTCTTCAATCCAATTCCTTCATCATTTTCATTACTTCATTGTTTCTTTGTGCCAAATTCCCAGGACAATTGACTTGCTCGCATCTCAAACCACTTTCAACAAACCTTCAAATTTCTGCTATTCACTTCAACAACCATCATGTCGTCTCGACAGGACAGCAAGTTGGATCTTCAGCCGGTCGCCACAACCAACCCATTTACATACGGAAAAGAGGTTTACCAGGCCGGTCTCAAAGGCCAGAAGCCATCAGTAACCTTCAACTGCCTCGAGTGGGAAAACCTGGCGAAAGATCGGCTATCGGCGGATTCTTTCGGATATGTTTGGGGATCTGCCGGAATCCGTGATACAGACGCCAACAACAAGAAAGCGTTTAAAAAATGGGGGGTTGTGCCGTCCCGCCTAGTCAAGAGCGGCTTCCCCGACCTCAAAACGTCGCTTTTTGGCGAGACGTATGATTATCCGATCGCTATTGCTCCGGTGGGTGTGCAGCGGATTTTCCACCCAGACGGGGAGACTGCGACGGCGAAGGCTGCCCAACAGGAACATGTGACCTACATTCTCAGCACGGCATCCGCTACGAGCATTGAGGATGTCGCCAAGGCAAACGGGAATGGACCTCGTTGGTATCAGCTCTACTGGCCACAGAATGAGAACAACGATATCACGGTGAGCCTGTTGTCAAGGGCGAAGTCAGCCGGGTACAGGGTTTTAGTGGTCACTTTGGATACATACATTCTTGGATGGCGGCCCAGTGACTTGGACAATGGATACAACCCTTTCATTCGCCCCGACAACATTGGCGTAGCACTGGGGTTTTCTGACCCTGTGTACCGCCGCAAATTCCAGGAAAAGCACGGAAAAACTATCGAGGAGGACATTGAAACTGCGGCCGCAGAGTGGGCACATACCGTATTTCCCGGTCTCAGTCACGGTTGGGAAGACATCAAATTTCTCCAGGAGCATTGGGAAGGCCCGATTATTCTGAAAGGAATCCAGACGGTGGCGGATGCGAAGAAGGCCGTGGATCATGGTGTCCAAGGAATTGTCGTCTCTAATCATGGCGGACGACAACAAGATGGAGGTATTGGGTCTTTGGATGTTTTGCCCGAGATTGTGGACGCTGTGGGAGATGAGTTAGAAATCATATTTGATTCTGGTGTTCGCTGCGGCGCTGATATCGCGAAGGCATTGGCGCTTGGTGCGAAGATGGTTCTGATTGGTCGTCCATATGTTTATGGATTGGCTCTCCAAGGTGAGGAGGGAGTACGACATGTCCTCAAAAGCCTATTGGGGGACTTGCATCTGACCCTCCACCTGTCAGGGATCAGCTCAGTGTCCAGTGAACAGCTCAATAGGTCAGTTTTGCGTCGGACGGATGCCTAAAATTTTCATTATTTTACATTCAAGTGCAGTTTGTCCGATAGCATCATGCTAAGTAAGATGACGACGAAGGCATTATCGCCGTCTAATTCCTATTACATTGTTAGCAAAAAATAGTTCGGAGGGCCCCCAGATCGTAGCCGGTGTTGATGTAATGGCATCATGGAGAAGATCGATGCACAAGACGATCGTTGATTGGCGAAAGTTTGGACCGGACATGTCAGGACCGCCTCAGCAAAACCTACTCTCGCAGCAAGAGTAGCCATCACTCCAGGTTTCCAGGTTTTCACCATGTAATTTGTTCGCGGTCCAGCGTTGCCTCACTATGCGCATTTTTAGACAGTGAGGCATGGCCTGGGGCGAATCACTAACATTGATAGGATCTGCTATTAGCTGCCATCAAACCTACCATATTCTACAACATACCTCCAAAGTCCGATGTAGTTGAGAGACATTCTTCTGAGGCCCTAGGAAAGACCAATTAGGTGAGAGAAGGACCAAATTTGAAGCAAATTGCAAGAGAATTTGGCATTCCTTACAAGCGGTTCAAGGCCCGCTACCACAATCGCAATAGTCGGCATGCTCCAAAGCCCCACCAGACACTCTTTGATCCAATTTAAGGACAGTCCATACTTCGCTGGTGGCGCTTCCCTGATACTTTCCGTCGTAGACCATCCCATCAAGGGGTTGCCGGGGCAACAAACTAAATGATCCGACCGCGAATCGCAAGAACTAGGTATACGGCTTCGAGAAGCGCTGCCTTCCAGCAACTAGAGTTGCTAACTACCGACCTACCAGTAGAGGTCTTTTGATTCAGAGGATATTGGAGGATTTTCGATCTCATTTGATAAGCTTGAATAATACCTAGGTATCTCGCTATCGGTTCAGAAGACCAAATATTGTCAGAAAATATCTATAACTTTGATGAAACAGGTTTTCAACTTGGCGTCGCAAAGTCTACACGAGGCCGTCCACTGAGATCAACGCTTTGACTCGAAGGAGAAAGGGGAGACCGTCACTGTTACCGAGTGCGCATGTGCGAATGCAGAGATGTCTACCCTATATTTCATCTTTCCAGGCGGAGTTCATCTGGAGAGATGGTATACACCGAACACACCAGAATATTTAGTCAACCTCAGCGACAGTGGGTATGTAGATAGTGAAATTGCTCTTGAATGGCTACGTGTCTTTGGTAAAGAGACTAAATTATAGGCAAATGGCAAGAAACGACTACTTTTTTTTGACAGTAACCCTTCACATAATACTGCAGGGTTTTTCCAATATCGCCTCGATAACAACATTATCGCATGGTATTTCTAATCGAATATGACCCAGTTATGCCAGCCTCTTGCTTCAGGCGAGAAAATCAAACTCTAGCAGTGGGATCGCTATACCGGTAGCACCGATAAAGCCGTCTTCCTTGCGCACCTACCATTTATACGAATTATTCAACTTGCCTTCCACGTTACAGGTGACTTCCCATGCAACTCGACAGGAATTCTTAATAAGATCGATCCGAATCAAAGCAGTCATCAATACTCGTCTCCTCCGCCACAGAGTAGTAGTCCTATTCCTACTAGCCCTCTACAGACGCCCCATTAAGCCACCGCATTATCAATGAAATCATACGCAAGCAGAGGGCTCCACGCGCCTGGTCTTATGCAACTCTAGACGTAGTGTGCGAGAACTTCACAGAGTAGTCGGAATGGCCTCACCCATTTGAATAGACCTCCAAGCAGCACCACGCTCCAGAGAAGAGGAAATAATCAAGAAACTGGGCTTTTATTGAGCCTATAGATCATATGCTACTTTCTGAAGCCTGGTTGCATCGTAGAAGGGAAGGCGAAGCAACAGAGACAGGTGGAGGCACGAACTCAAAAAAAATCGCCAGCAGCAACAGCCTGTTTTAGGAGTTACCACAGCTTCATTTACACCCCAAATGAGTTCATCTGAATCCTCGACCACAGCTGCACATCCAATGCGGATTTTAGCAGCTTTGAAACATTACCAAGGGTGTATGCGGACTCGGAATTATAGAATTTGAAATGTAAGATCGTTGTGGACCGGAGTTCGCTGTGAGCTGGTGCACTCACTCCCACCGCCAGGTGCGGAGTGGGGCACACGGGTACAACCAGACTCATTTAGTTAACTTTTGTATCGTGAGTTGTCAGATAACTTACAGGATAAGTCTGGAACCTTTCGAAATTCCTCACCCCACTCTAAAGTAGACGTTGTCGTTGATTATTTCTCGGACTTCGGGAGTGTTGATGCGAATCAGTAATAGTCAAAATGGCTGAATGTAGAATAAATATGGCCAATTTGCGTGCGAAGTTGATGATGCTTTTTCCCCCTTGGGCCTAGCCAGCAGTAGCAGCCCAAGTGACATGCAGCTGAACAACATTTCATCAAGTCATAAACACGACTCCAAATTGCCTGTTGTTCGGATACTTTGTCTTCAGCATCTAGCTGGGCATCTAGATCATCAAGCATCCTCTGTGACAGAGGATTTACCTCTCTTGTCCCCTTTCCGTCCAGCGGATGGGAAATTGCAATTCTCCACGTAATTGAAACAGGTCCTCAGCGTGAGTATCTTTCCACGACAGAAATGTGTCGGCCACATCCGAAGTTGTTTCTTGATAGGAGCCCAAACAATATCAGTTTTGTTGAAGAATTTGGTCAGATCACGTTGGGAACGATCATTAACTAACACAATGATCGCCATGTCATCGACCCTGACCCTCTTGTTGCGGGATAATTTCTCTCGAAAGACAGTTTCTAGCTTCTCTTTGAGGAACAGCCGCCGTTAGTGGCTTGGGACCAATACCAGATTTGCTTCTGTGTCCTTTACAGTGGCCTTGTTGTTAATCGTGGCTCGCCATTCTATGAGATAGTGGATACAGCCTGGCGGATCCTCGTCATATGACTTATCTTTCTCCCATTCAGATTCTTGGAGCAGAAGGATAATATTCAATCGAGGCTGGCTAACGGGGTAGGGGTCAACGTAGTTGAATTGATGGAGAGGGACTACATTTGGACTGCGTAGCACAAGGGCTTTGGAAGTTCCCCAGGGTAGGTGGGGAATACTGTGGATCCTGTTCCTATTGTTCGAGCTCCCGAGGTTGAGAGATGTAATCATAGTGGTATGGGCTTCCGTTCATATCTACACACGATCAAAGCTCTTAAGGTCTGTCAGCATAAGTTGGTCGTGAAATTTGTGACCAGGCACGCCCAACGACGAACGAAAGCAAGGATGGGCGAGCTAGAGGGATGGAAAGCATAAACGAGAACCATATTAGCCTACCAGAGTTAGTCCTCTACGGCAGTACCACCAGTTGAACAGCCTCGTCCTGAAAGGTGCTAATGAACGCTGTGGAAGAAACTGAAGAACAGGAAGAAAGGGAGTGTGTGGGCTTGGCTCAAGCCAGATAGCCAGATCTCCCCATCTATCGAGATTATCTTCCTAGAACATTCCATGGGGTTATATGGTGATTTACAATGACTAATAAAGGGCGAAAATAGGGGTTTAAGGCTCCTTGGTTTTGACTGTGGTCATCAGTATCTTGGTCGTCGCAGGAATAAGGTCATCTACACTTATTACACGCAGCATGATGTGCTAAAACATGTGTCTCGCTTTCCAACCATTCTTCTGCGCAGCATATATGAGAGAGCGATGTGCACTGACGGCAGCGCAAGATCACACGCTCGTTCGTATGGTCAATCAGCTCTAAGAATTACTGCTCTTCATCTAGAGACTGCCAGAGTGCGTTATGGATAGAAGGAATGTGTTGAGAGTCAAGGCCGGCAGTCGAAGCTTTACAGCTGAAATTCAATGGATGGGCAGGAAAATCCTGTAAGGCGGCTCTGCGTGTGTGTTAACAATGATACCTTATGCCATAGAATTTTTGTCACCTTTCGAGGACATCACGAAGGACACGTTCACGTTCACCCCCTGACATCAAGTCTAAGGGTCGAGGTCTTCCTTTTTACACCCGAAGATGACGCTTCATAGAAAAGGTATACGACTCAGAGAAATCGTATAGAACTGTATCGTTGATGTCATCGGGAAGTCGAAAGTGGAAATCATGGATGTCCCCATGGGTTATGCCTATTCGATATAGAGCATCCAGGCGACGAAGTCGATCTTTTAGCAAAGAATGATACCAATCTTGCTCGAATGGGCTCAACGTGATCATTCCAGGGGCGGTAAAAAATCTCTTAGATAATGTTTCGAGGATGGTCAAAAAGCTTTCAGACTGAGAACTGATCACTTCACTAAGAACGCGCCGGGAGTATAAGGCTGGTATCATTGCTTCCAGGACAACCGCTCGTTTGTTGTAGTACCCATGGCAAAATCGAGATTTTGGTATATCATCGACCACTCCGTGGAATCGTGGGAAATAGATTTTTTCACGCGCGGAACAGTGTAGATCAATATGGTTGTATACCCGAGCCTCCCGATGGAACCTATCGAACTCGTATCTAGCATCGTTGATCCTTTCGGGAGTCGGCCGTACCCTAAGACGATAAAGCTGCTCTCTGGCCTCTTGCTCTGAATAGGGAGGAAACTGCGAACCCATGTGGTACATAATTAATCCGATCACGCGTACCTAGGTACAATGGTTGTCTCCAGAGGTCGACTTACGACTTTCGCGACATATTTTCTGTGTCCCCCGATGCGAAGCCAAAACACCTGTATAGTGCTTGGATTCGACGGTCTGAACTTGTCGATTTGGGATCCTAGTTCCCAATTGTTGTCTTTAGCACGAAAAGGTCGAGGATCATGGCTCTCAAGTGCGCTTGTGTTCAGTATGTCTGGACGACTGCCAGAAAAGAATAGGTTCATCCAAGTATCTCCTTCCTCCATGATCGGCGTTCCTTTCAAGGAAATAGGATATCACGATAACCCTGCACTCGCTTTGAAGCTGGCTGTATGGCTAAGACGAGAGGAAGTTGTAGTGACAAAGACATCGCTCGAAATTACCTAGGTATTGTCATGTGAGATGTGTTGTAACCCTTGCTTCATCTTTGGAATGTGATGAAGTGTCACGTGACTGCGCATCCAAACTCGGGATCGCTCGCGTCAACCCCAACCTCCCCATTCCCCCTACCCTGCTTTATCCATCATCACATCCCCGTCCACACCCGTCCACGCCGTCAGAGAAAGTGTACTTGTTCTTACCGTCCTCGTCGCCAGTCCTGCCATTCCTGTGTTCACATAGGACTCTCCATTTTCACCACTTGATCTCGGATTGGGCACGTACTCGGGACCAGGCCGTAAGAGCTTCTACTACTTTACTCCCATCCGATACCCTTTCCATCCTCCCCCCACCGTCAGAGAAAGAGTACTCCTTCTCGCCGTCCTCGTCGCCAGTCCTGCCATTCCTGTGTTCACATAGGACTCTCTGTTTTCACCACTTGATCTCGGATTGGGCACGTACTTGGGGCCAGGCCGTGAGAGATTTTACTGCTTTGCTCCCATGCATGTTGTGTATTCTTCGCTCTTCATAATACAGGGCTTTTCTTGAGCCAATAGAGCCTCTTTTTTTGATTCAACCAATACTGGCCCGAAATGGGTACCGACCCGCTAAACTCGACTTTGCAGATGAAGAAGAGGGCGCGTGTTGATACGCCCACGTCCAATTGTTCTTGCTCTGTTACGGTTCGCATGGCTTGTGATAAATCAGCCAACAATGGATTCATCTCACTTTGGTTTGCAGGACCGCTTGCTAACTCGCCCGAGAAAAGACAGGACCTGGTCTTGAATATTATCCCAACAATCATTTTGACCTGTGACTTTGCGCCTGGAAACGGGGTCAGGGACACCTCAACACTGTCGCTAAACCTCTCCGAACCTGGCGCGGTCTTCGGTCCCATCGGAACAGACTCTCTCAGGCCATTCAACCCGGACGACCGAGAATTCCACTCATTCGCTGCCATCTGCAAATCCACAATCTTACGTCTAAACCTCTCTCGCCAGCAATTCCAGGGGACAGACCTTAAAAAGCTATCATCCATATCGAGCTTTCTTCAACGAAGGTCTGTCCAGCCGAGGCCTTTCGAGTTTGAGCGACACCACTTGGCTCCAAAAAATCACAAAGATTTTGATTCGCCGCCCAAACCACCCCCATACAGTGAACAGGATGTGTCTCAGCGAGTCGCAGAGGTGCAACCCCCTCCGTATCATGGGCAGACCGTTGGCGAACAGGTGATTAGCAAACGACCAATAGGTATGTCTCTTTTTACCTGTCGATACGCTTTCCATTGTCCATTCATCCATACTCTTCCCAGACATTGGGTCAACCCCTGCTAGTAATGGAAGATCAAAACGAATGCGTCTCCAATCACCCCAATTCACACACTGTGCCGACAAAATTAACCGAGCAAGCGTTCTCTGTGAACCCAACACACCGAGTGTGCCCACTGAACCCAATTCGCCTAGTACTCGTCTCTCTGTGGCATCATCTATCTGCCCAACACCCTTCACACTCAGCGCCTTTCCGGATCTCATCGAGCACAAGGAGCCCGCACGCCCTGGACAGGAAACCCCCAATGCTAGCGATGACAACACATCGAGCTCCGATTCTTCTCCATCACGATCCATCCGCCCAACGTGTTTCAGGCACGCCGCCTCTACCTCCATCAAGCATAGGAAGCTCGTGGGTCTGAGGGAAGACCGCTCTCATGATCCCGGTGAGCCAATTTCCTCTACCCAGAGAGGCTCTCATGCCTCCCCGGCACGATATTTCCGTCCACCATGTTTCACACATGCCTCATCGCCTGATTCGCCCGGGCACTGGAAACTCGCACATCTCGAACAGGAACTTCGTAATACTCCGGATGAGCTGATCCGTGAGCTTTTAATTCGGGTTGGACGTCCACATCTCCTCGCTGCGCCAACAGATACAACTGGCACGCCGTCGTTCATGTTTGAGGTCGGATCCGCCAAGGCCGAAACACTTGAAGAACGACTCGAACGATTAGTTGATCAAAGAATCGAACATTACCTGGAATCCGGCGATTCACAGTTGATCGCAAAGTTGACCGAGCGTGCTACAAGTGAGTGTCGTGAGCACATCTCCGATGAATTCAAGACTCGCGGGGACGATTTCGAGGAAGAGGTCGAAAGTGGTATCTTCGAGGTTCGTCGGGCAGTTGAAGAAGGTCTGGAGGAAATCAGAAAGCAACATGATCAGTGTGAAGATGATCTGAAGGATCGTGGCGTCAAGGTTGTCACTGCTGCGGAACAGGCTGTGTCAAACTTGATGCACTGGTACAATCCTCCTAGGCAGAACTTACACGACAGAAGGTTGTGCCCGCCCCATGGGCTCGGCATCAATACCAGGCGTAGGTCTACCTAGACTGATTACTAGACTTATGTCTTGGATGATTGTCATCACGTATCTCCCCACGGAAATCACTGCCTAGTCTGCTCTTACATACAGGTAGCGGACCTGACTGGAATCCGCAGCTGTGGTAGGGAACGCTGTCTGTCTGAGAATCATATGCGTATAGGGAGCCATTCTTTGGGCAAGGGCTGATGGTAAGAACAAAAGTCCTACTCTTTTATTCTGTCAATCTACAGAGAAGTACAAAATCAGGGTTGCGTACTGATTGACACTCTACTCTTCTCATTTTGGCCGCACTGTCAGGATACGAGCTTGAGCACGGATCAGAAAGCACCGCTATGCTTACGATTGGCTACACCGAATGAAATTGATATCATACTCGCCAGCAAACCCATCACCTTCCTTTTCCGCATCCAGATACCCCGGCGCGATTTCTTCGATCCGCTCCTCCAGCTCTTCCCAACTAAGTTCGTCTGATCGAGAAAGGAGAATGGCAACCAGAGGCAGCTCCATATCAATGGGTCTATAGAGATCAGTCAGTTTGGACACAACACATCGAACAAGGCGAGACAGGTAAAGGGAGATAGCTACACTTACTCCGCAGGAGGACGATGGTAATTCACAGAAGCCCCTAAACGCCAAAGCAGCTCCTGACGATCTTCCCATATCTGCCATACATACTCGGGTTGAAAACGAGCGGAGAATGCTACCGACCCATCGTCTCTAGTCTCAGTGGCCATTATCAACCCTGTCTTCAGGGTTTGATCATCAATCAAAAAGTCCATTTTCTCCCAGAGAAACAACAGAGTCCCGTCTACTGTCATCCCCATATCCTCAAAATCTGGACACTCTACCGACCGAGCCATCTTGAAATTCTCCGGTGTAATTGGCCCGGTGGCAGGGTTTGGTGAAATCTTCATTAACTGACAGTTAAGCGGGAAATATGGGTCACCATAATCCCAGACAAACAGGAGAAGAAAGGCCTTCACCATCCGCCCATGATCTTCGGGTGTTTTGATCGAAGCGACGCAGTAGCAATGCTGATACATGGGGTTTTCCGGTAACCCCCGACTGGGAAGATTCTATATTCCGTGGCGATCAGATCATAACACTTCCATGATTGGGCAAAGCGTGCTTTGATGTATATTGGTAGATATAGGGCGACATACCGTCTTGTCATAGTCATCGAAGCTCCGATATGAATCAGTTTGATCTTGATAACTCTGTTTCATTTGCGTCAAAATCTTCGGATCTCACTTCTGCGTACAACTGTGCAACCTACTTCACGGAAAGCCTGATCCGCCGCAACCCAAGCCTCCATTGGTTTCCTGCGTTGTTCATCCTCGTATTCAAACATTCCGCCGTCTTCGGTCAGTCTGGGTATCCAATTCTCGTGAACGAATCTAGCAAATCCTTTTGTTCGGACCTCAGAGGTTCCATCAACAAATGGTCCATCTCCCCGTCGATACATTTGGATGGTGGGGGGTATACCCCCCGGCCATGTTCGTCCTTCCATATCAGGGGCAGAAGAAGGAGCTTAGAAAGGAATTTAAGACTGGAAAATTTATCGATTGCATCTTATAAATCTTCTAGTTCGGCTTCAGCCTCATTCTAGTGCGGATCCCAATCCAATCGGGTCCCCGCTCTCTTCACTTGCTCTACATATAGATACCTCTCTCTTCTTCAATTGATTGATCAAACCCCTTGCCATTTCTCTTGAAGGTGTATGGTATCTCGAGGAAATTGCATTAGCCCATGTTTGTTTTCAATTCTTTTAATTTGCCTGTTCTCGTCGTGCTGTATGTAGCCTATATATCTTACACAATCATCTCGACCTCGGGATATACTGGATTTTTTCTTGCCGACTGATATAGGAATCAATTATCATGAGCTGTAGGCCCTGTTGCATACAATGTTTAAATTGCATGTAACTCTGGACACAGAGAATCACGTTTTAATTGGCTGTGAACCCGGACGTCGGACGTCGGCAGTCAAGGGGATAAGAAGGGCGGTGACAGCGGATGTTCGCAAGGTGGTTTTCGCACTTGTTGTGACGCCGCCCAGGTGAATGGTTGAAAGGTGCTTGGTATTTCGTATTGCTCCGGTGCTTTACTCACCGGACGCCACTTGCTCTAACTAGCTCACCTCATTTGCTCTGGCTTCTGGCTTTCCATCACTGTCACCATGCAGATTCAAATTTTGTCTGATTTACATCTCGAAACCCCACCAGCCTATGATCTTTACGATATAATCCCCCAAGCACCGCATTTGGCCCTCCTTGGTGACATCGGGGTTGTCCAGGATGCTGGATTTCTTCCCTTTATCGAAACTCAGTTGCGCCAATTCTCGGTTGTGTTGTTCCTGTTGGGCAACCATGAGCCCTACTATGCCAGTTGGGCGGAAACAAAACAAGTGCTTCAACGATTTGGAGCATCCGTGAACGAACGGCGTGTGTCCTCACGGCAATATGGACAGGAAGAGATGGGCTCATTCGTTTTCTTGGACCAAACCCGATATGACATTTCATCCGACGTGACGATTCTAGGATGCACGCTCTTTTCGCAAGTCAGTGAGGCTCACAAAGAGCACGTCAGCTTTGGTCTCCGGGATTTCTACCACATCAACCACTGGACTGTCGAAGACCATTCAGCCGCCCATCAATCAGATCTGGCATGGCTGAATTCTCAAGTCTCGCAGATTGCCACTGCGGAGCCCGGTCGGAAGATAGTGGTCTTCACCCACCATAGTCCAGTCACCCAAGACGCCAGGGCCGTTGACCCCCGGCACATGCATAGCTCTATCTCGACCGGGTTTGCCACCGATCTCTCTGGACAGGAATGCTGGAAGAGTCCGTCGGTTCGATTGTGGTCTTTTGGGCATACTCATTTCAATGTCAATTATGTGGACGACACCGGCAAAATGGTAGTTAGCAATCAGCGGGGGTATTACTTTTCTCAGGCCCCGGGGTTCAAGCAGGATTTCGTTGTGGACATCTAACGGTCCCCTGAACATTCAGTAAATCAAAGCCCTTGCCCGGTCAAGCAGTCAACTTGTCGAGAGCTTGGTAAGCCGCATGATGCTACGGCATCCTCATGATCCTTTCTCATCCCCACCCCGAAGGCGATTACTGCGCCTTTGTTTCTGGGGACCCGCGTTTGTATCCGACCCCTTCTTTGATCCGGTGTCCGACGTCCCTTTTCGCTTTGCCGATGCTGCTGGGCCCGCGGGCCATATCCCTTCGGCCAAGGTTCGAACCAACGTCTTGATTCGATTGTCGCGAGACTGGGGGGACGATGTTTGTATGCGCCAGAGCACAGAATAGCGGTCACTCTTATTCATTTTCCCAAAGAAGGACGCCGCGGCGGGATCTGCGTTGAGGGCAGCTGCGAAATCGTCGGGGACGGTCATAGCCGCCGGGCCCGCGTAAGCTCGTTCCCAACGGCCATCCGCCTTGGCTGCCTCCACGGCCGCTAATCCTGCCGGGCGCATTCGCTTTGCGTCCTGTAATCGAGCGATGGTTGTGACGTTTTTCTGCGACCAGATGCTCTTGGCTCGGCGGGGCGTGTACCGGACCAGCCACCAGTCCTTGTCGAACGGGTTGGCACGACCGTCGATCCAACCAAAACATAATGCAATTTCGACGGCTTCTGCTGCAGTGACCGATGGAATCTTGGAGGCTTTCTTTGCGAGCCGTAAATGAAAGCCTTGTAGAGTTAAATGCTCCCGTTCGAGGAATAGTTCCATTTCGCTGGCGGTAGAGAATGCGTGTGTGGGAAGATCTTCGGGGGGCGGTCTGTGAGACATCTGGATGGCGTGGGGAGGATGAACTGTGATGCCGATCGGATTTTGTGATGCCTGGCGTGGAGACTGCAGCTGACTTCGTTTGACAGGTGAAAGGCAGCTTGATGGAAAAAAAAAGAATGGACGAGCGGTGGATCGAACACCGGACTTTTCGCAATCGCGGCCTGAGGCCAATGCAAAGCGAACACTCTACCACTGAGTCACACGCCCTTTATGTCATCAACAGGAGAAACATTGACACACGACGACAACACTCAATTTGACATTTTGATGTCCACTTGCGTTTATAAGCTCGGCATTCACGCAACCCCCGTGGCCGAGCAGTCCAACGGCCAATGAAGGCCCAAGATCACTGCCTTTCGACTGAATCAATAGTTCCGGGTAGACTTCCGCAATGGGCCGGATTGGGCCCGAGGTCCCGGCCTAGAGCCCAACCATGTCTGGGCTCTGGGCCTTAAGCTCAAGGCCTAACCCAGCCCAGAGCCCAGTAATGGGCCCCTAATGGGCCCCCAGAAAAGCCCAAAAACCCCATTTCTATGCATAAACATGGTCTTGGTATACATATTTCTGCTGATTGATAGGTTTTATGTACAATTGTTCTACCTTGTAATCTAACAATTGACTACGGTGCAAATTTATAAATTCGCACCACAATCAGAAGAGCATCGCGAACTTATCGATCTAGATATTACTGTGGTCCCGAGGTCTAAAGCTTTTAAATTTCAAGGTTATATCTATCTCTTTCTCTCTTTCTTTAATATTATTATCACTTCTATAAACGCCTTTTTTTCAAGATACATTAAGGTTATTAGTCTAAAAGCGTAGTACTTTCATACCTTAGGATACTGCCAAGATCTGCATTATTTGTGAAAAGACTAATTCTTGTGGGCTCTGGGCTTTGTGGGCCGCTGCGGAAGTCTAGTCCGAGGGTGCATTTTACATCCGCTTTTTGATGAAGCAGAACACTTTTGCTCAATCCAGTCCTGTACCTCAGCATAGGCGATTCATTCTAAGCCGTGGACACTGAAAAAGTCAGCTTTCATCAAAATCGGGGCTGGAGACAAGTTAAGTGGTCAAATTCGGGTTTACCATCTTCCAAGGTTCGTCTCGGTCCACTCCATGATGTCCGATGGCAAATAACTTTTTCTCCGATCCCTCCGATTCCTCCGATTCCTCCGAATTCAAGCGTCCGAAAGGTCTTCAGTGTCGCAAACTAGGAATTTTTGGAAGAAGAGAGAGGAGCAAAAAAAATCCTTTGTCTCCATGGACCCCTTTATATCGACTTACTTAAATAACTCAAGATTCATCGTGAGTGCTCAAGTCGGCGGAATCGTTTCTACATCTATCATACCGTACCACTTTCTGGGGCTAGATCCTGTCAGCATCTAGCATATTCAAATTCCATTTATATTCGCTTATTGAAGTAAACAGATGTCAGCTAAGCATCGCGCGGGAGCCGAGACCAACTGTCAATGGAGACTCCTGGACATTGTTCAAGGGATGGATTGATGGTTTGGATTGGTTCAATTGGGATCCTGCAAATTCTGTAAATATTTGAAATTGCAGCAATCATTACTTGAAATGATTTTCTTAATTAGTTCTTAGCAAAGCCTGGAGAACTAGTCAGTACTACTTCCACTCAGGGCTGATTCAGAAAGCTGAGGAGGAAGGCTGATTTCGATAAGTTCTACCTAAGCTCTCTGCAACGGTCTCTTCGTGGCATACATCTAGAAGTGGATTTGCGCTATATTGTGCCTACTCGACATTTGATAATAGAACATTGAAAAAGTCTTAAAATTTCAATCCAAATATGACTCGAAGTGAAAACTCTCCACTTGACATGCAAACCATATGCGAAATGAACAGGTGTGCGTCCTCAGATTACCGTGCTTCTGATAGAGTTCTTTGGTGGTCAGTATCCTTTCATGTGCATTGCCTGCCATAGGACACAGAGTCAAATCTGAGAGGGTTCACACGCCTACAACGTTAGTTCAGTCACCGATGTTCATCTCCCACCCTTCAGTCCCAGCGCTTCAATCAAAGTCTAGCAAAGGCACAAGCTCATGTGAGCTGAGTGACTCGAATGCCCAGTTATCCCAGCCATTGATATCTTGCCAAATCTCCTGACTCGGCACTTCATCATCTGGTAATGACCGAGAATGCAGCCCCAGTGCGAGGCAGCCGCTTCCTGCATCACACTCTTCATTATGCGTATTTGAAGCGGTATGCCCCCTCTTGTGGAACAACGTCGCAAAATTCCCAATGGTAAGCTCTAGGGAATGATTTTTTCGATGTGGCTCATCAATGCCGCTTATGAAAGTCTGACATGCCATGGTGATCCATAGCTGCCTCTGGTCGCCACCGTAATGAAGAAACTTGTGTTCCATCAACTCGATGGCGTGCCGAATAGAATGGAAAAATTCCTGCGCCGTGATATTGAGCGCTAGGATGTTGGGTGATGACTTGCATGTTAGAGCGACATAACAAAGCGTTAAAGCAGCTCGAAATTGATCTCCACAAAGTACCAGTAGCATCCTGTCTCCATTTTCCAGCATTTGCCGATGGATGTGAATGACCTCCTTGGCGGTATTCCACAAAATCATCAAAGAATACTCCTTCTCTAGAGTAGAAGTTGCATGAATGACCTGCCTCATGTGGAGAGCGAGCTGGAATTGATGAAGATTGAGGGAAAGCAGGCTGGGTATTGGCCTGAACGGAGGGCTGCTGTGAGGATAGATGGCGGAGAGATGCGACATGATTCTTTCTGTGAAGTGGGTAACTTGCGCCAAAGTGATGCAGGTATTGGTGTCATTTAGAATGTTTGTCAGAGAATGCCGTAGGTGAAGAGTATTCGTTGACATGGAGAGATACCAGGAATGGTTCATGCCCTGGTCCGAATCTATTGTTCCTCTTGGGTCGCCAAGCACACTGTCCGGTATGTTCGCGGGACACAGGATATTACATTGCTGCACCCAGGGCGAAGGAGGCATCCCCTGCTCAAATGATGCTTGCAATTCGAATTCCGCTACGGCTGCCCATATTCGCCGACGAATCTCCCTATCAAGACAGGGCTCCTCTTCAAGCTGGTCGCTTTCACGGTGGAATCCAGCAGTCATCAAAAGCCGAAGCAGCTTTCCTGAGTTTGGCCATGTCCGCTTATACCTCTTTCCATTAATCTGACATGCTAAGAGAAGCAGAAAAGCGGCTTGAAAGTCAACCAAGCGATTGTATCGAATGGGCTTTGATTGCAACCACTGCTCACATGTTTGGATAATTAAGGTGGCTCTATCGCGGCGGCACATTTGGCCAGAGTTCGGATTTTCCAGTTCGATCGGTGTTGTGCAAAGCGAGATTGCAACCATCAGAAGGAGAGAAGTGAGAAAATTCTGTTGATGTGGGACTTTGGTGGTCCAGAATTCTTTGTACGCGTCTTCGAAAGTAGGCAAGTGCAACACATGATAAACGCATTCAAAACTGTTCAAATAACTCTCGATCAGCCCGTCAGCCTCTTCTTTCGGAGGTAACAAAGTCAGCAGGTTATCCAGGGTTGTTGTAGAGCCCAAAGTTTTTGTGACCTCGCAAGTTTCTGACTGGTGCAAGTCGTGGCGGATTCGGTTCATGATGGGGTACTTGTTGAAAGCTTCTTTGGTAAGTTGTTCAAGGCCAGGCATTTGGTTCAGGATCATGCTGACGTGAGTACCACCGTTGAATCTAGTCGCAAACGCTTTCCCCCTCAAAGGTGGGATCCAAGTTCCATCGCTTGCAGGTGGTGGAACAGAATTGGCTTCAGCTCGCAAAGTTGGCTTCTGATGGCCAGAGTGGCCAGAGTTATGAATCGGTAGGCCGCTAGTGTCTGTTGGTTGTGCGTCTCGGGATTTTATGTGCGGAACGAGAGGGCGTGAAGTGAATGAACCTCTTGGTGGAGTTTTGCGTGACCTGGAGTCCCGCGCGCAAAATGAATCGGGGGTTTTTGGAATCCCATTGGAATTCTTTGGCACATCTGTAGGCAGGTCTCGTATATCTTCAACGTAGATACATTGCTTGGCTTGACCGGATGTGGAGCACCGCGTGCAGGCCGGCAAGCTGCGATCACATTGAAGCTTTTTGCGACGGCATGTCACACAGGACAGTATTTTGCGACGGCGTGGGGACTTGCACCTTCTTTTGCCATCTCCTAAAGACCGAGATTTCGGTGAAGGGCAATCCCTTGGAGACATGGCACTTCCTCATGAACTTCCGAGTCCTAGAGAGGAAGATACACAGTGATCGATATTCAAGTCAATTTCCAGGATGATTGAAGAAGTTCGTTAGCGTGCGCGACGATATTGACAGTCGGTAAAATGGATCGTAGAGCAAAATCTTGACTTTGAGAATCAGAGCCAGCCTCGGCCCGGAGTTTGGGGCCATGGCTGTTGGTCTGGAAGTCATCGCTGGTGCTATCGGAGATTGTCAAAGATCGCCGAGCGTCGGAGAAAAATGGCTCTGTGAAACTTATCTCCGTCACGTGACAGCGCAATTGTCAAGGTGCATGGACATTGCACAATTTCAAGCTCCAAAGTGAATTTCAAATTTCGAGATTGTGTCTTCTTTGCCTCGGTTATATTCATGGTGTTTTACCCAGGGCACCCCAGAAACTCCCCGTGTGATGCCTTTTTCCGCTGCTATCAGTCCAATATAGATAGACTACCACGTACAAGTCAAACCCTGGAAATCTTCAATTCGACTCTTGAATGAATTCCACAATATTACCTGCCAGTTTGGAGTTACGCCTGGTCACCAACGTGCATGGTAGAACTCATTCGTGGGACGAGCATTCTCAAAACGTTAGATACGTAAGACCCTACAAGAGTGGTGCAGAGTCTACCTTTCGATCTATGGCTCAAGAAAGCTGGGTAAGATCGGTGTATAAAATACCTTTTGCCCATGAGACTTGAGCAGCGCTTGGCTGATTACGAGACTACGGGAAAGGTAGGCTCGGGGCTCAAAGACAGAATCGATTCTGCTCACTCCTCACGGAGAGAGGAACAAGGAAAAGAGAGAGAGAGAGAGAGAGAGAGAGAGAGAGAGAGAGAGAGAGCGATCTAGGCAAACAGGGCCAACCCGAGAAGGTGTCTTCAACAGCTGAGGGTTCAAGCTGTTGATCTTCAGTCAAGCTCACCAGACTCCTGAGCCGTTCACACTCAAAATTCACCACAGCACGCAAGCCGAACCAATATACTATGGTGGAAGAGAAATTTCATCCAGGCAATGGCAGAACGTCGCGGCCGTGCGAGGATCTCGGAGATCCGATGGATGCTCGGCCGATCCGATGGATGCTCGGCCGATCCAAATGCCCGTAAGCGGAATTGCTATATAAAGTCTATGCCTTGGGAGCTCTCCTGCCCCAAAACTTCCGAGATCAAGCTTCTTGTTTCTGGCTTACGGTGAGCAACTCTGGTATTTTCCAAAGAAAGCTTACTCGCGATACTCTGTCAACAGAAATTGACTCACAGCCGCATTTTCTACCCAGTGTCTCTCGTTGTTCTTCAAAGTGAACTGAAAATCATGGAAGATCCAAAAATGACCAAAGAAGTTGACAACGAAAACCAACAACGAACCGGATGCTCCCCCGAGCAACCCGACATCCCTGATGGTGGTTTTCAGGCTTGGTTAGTCATTCTTGGCTGCTGGTGTGGTATGTTCTGCACATTTGGGCTGGTTAATTGCATTGGGGTCTTTGAGGCTTATTATGTGAGTGCAACTGGTCCATTGCATCGCTACAGCCAAGGGGAGGTCAGCTGGATCACTTCATTCCAGGCATGGGGAATACCCTTCGGTGGAATTATGGTGAGGTCCCTCACACCATAAGGGAAAAGGAAAGCTTGTTAATTCTGAGTGCGATTGAAGTTTGGTCCTATCTTTGACCGTTACGGCCCACGATGGTTGCTCATCATTGGTACTCTTATCTATGTGTTCGGGCTTATGATGGTCTCTGTCTCAACTCAGTACTATCAAATCTTTTTGTCACAGGGGATAGTCTCGGCCTTCGGATCCTCTGCCATATTCAATTCTTGCATCTCTTCGGTCGTTTCTTGGTTCAAGCACCGCCGATCGTACGCTTTCGGGGTCATGGTCTCAGGATCCTCTCTCGGAGGCGTGATAATGCCCATCATGATGAATGAGCTCATTCCACGCGTTGGATTTCAGTGGACCATGCGGATAATTGGGTTCATGATTCTTGGTCTGCTTGCCATCACAGTGTGTACGGTCCGACCATATCTACCACCTCAACCTAAACCTTTTCGCCTCCAAACTTATTGTTCAGGCTTGAAGGAGCCTGCATTTGCCATGACTTGCACTGCATCCTTTTTCTTCTATTGGGGATTGTTTATTCCATTCAATTACATCGTCCTTCAGTCCGAAAAGGCTGGCATCAGCCCACACATTGCGCAATACATGCTGCCAATTATAAATGCCGTGAGGTAAGTTGTATGGTATTTAATTTGACACAGAATCCAGCAAGCAGACTCAAACTCTGACGATTATCTTTCAGCATACCTGGACGAATTATCCCCGGATTTCTTGCCGACAAAGCCGGCCGCTTCAATGTTGCAATCCTTGTGGCTGGATTCACATCTATTTTTTGCTTAGCTCTTTGGATTCCAGGCCAAAGTCAAGGTGCACTCATCGCATTTTCAGTGCTATATGGCTTCTTTTCGGGAAGTTTCATTTCCCTGGCTCCTACTCTTGTTGCACAAATATCCGACATTCGTGAGATAGGCAGTCGTCAGGGTACCTGCTTTTTCTTCCAGTCTTTCGGCGCATTGACTGGCTCGCCTATTGCGGGAGCAATCTCCGCAAGCCAGAATGGCTCATTTCTGGGCCTTCAGTTATTTTGTGGATTTTCATTGGCAGCATCGATGGCTTTCTACATCTTCGTCCGAATCAAAATTGCTGGATTTCGACTCTCGAGGGTCTAGTTGGTAACTATAAGACGGCATCAGCTGAGGACATGAGACCAAGAACAAAGGCTACCTTGACCTAGACCTAAAAAGGGTCGAACTTGGGGCCAACACCCCTGGCTCATGAATAACCATTCACATGGCTTTGGCTCTTTGAGTGTGGTTGGAGAAGATTGAAGTTAAAGGAGGCAGGGGAGAAGAGTAAGTGACAGAAAATGGTTAAGTCGGGTAGTAGCTTATAGCAATTTATATTTATATCTATCAAAAACAGCATGCGGGAATACATGACTAGAGAAATAGAGGCAGGGAGAGGACAGGCTGTGTGAGCCTATACCTAGGTGCACGAGCCTTCCGTAATTTCCCTTTGAAACTAACACTACTGGGGTTGGTTTTGTCGATACACAAATCTCAAGGTATGTACATCGCGGCGTCTAGGTTTCAGTAGTATTTGAATAAGTGTAAAGAATGGGGTTCTAGTATTTATAGGATAGAGCCTGTCAACCAGGTAAGGTGAAGATGGCTCAAAACCAGTGATATTGTGGGAGAATACAGAGACTGATTCTTGGAGAACTGGGGGGGGTTTCCCACGTTATTGGGTCGTACGAACGAACCTGAAGTTGATATGGGATAGTACGATTCTAGCCAATAGGAGGTCCGGAAAAGATATATGTGAGAGTCTAGATTCTATCCCCGAATAGGGTCCTTTTGTAAGGCCCAGAAAGCACGTGATGGCACAAATACACAAAAATCTAGTAAAATCAAACAGTCCAAACATTTGTGGGTCAGCTGGCTTCATGGTTGTCGACATTTCTAGTTTGTTTAGATAGATTTCTTTTTTTTTCATCAAAACCTGCTTTCTTATGCCCTGCTATGCTAGGATCGAAGGGACAGACTCCCGGGGCACGAAGACCCAAGTTCGTCATCCCCACGAGCCCCCTGGCCTCGAGGACAGTCAAGCCCGAACACTTGGCTGTCCAATCGAGAAAGTATTTCACAAGAATGGAGAACATTTCCAGATCAATAATCACAAATCCACAATCAGACGGGTAATGGGATTCTCTCACGCAGACGCGAAGATCTAGCGAACTCAATCCCGAGGTGGATGTTCACTGGACAATCATGATGTCACGGAACATGTTGCAGTGCATCGGCACATAAAAGCAAGACGTGCTGCCAAAAGATCGACTTTGACCCCTTTTTCAGAGCACATACCTCAACTGAACCTTGCAAGAAAACTTTTGAACATGTCCAAACCCATTGCAATCATTGCCGGCGCAGGCCCCGGGACCGGTAGTGCAGTGGCTCGCCGCTTCGCCCTGGCTTACCCCGTGGTTCTACTAGCTCGATCACAGCAGTCACTAGACCCCTTGGTCACCGAGATCACCAAGAACGGCGGGTCCGCCATCGGGGTTCCGACCGATGTGACGAGTGCTTCGAGCATGGGGTTGACCATGGACAAAATCAAGAACAAATTTGGTCCTGAGATCACGGTCGCGGCAGCGATCTACAATGTCGCGAGCAAATTCTCAATGAAACCCTTCTTGGAACAAACCCCAGAAGAATTCAATGACATGCTGGAGCCGTCGATCAAGGGTGCTTTCAACTTCGCCCAGGCGACACTGCCCTATATGCTGAAGGGTGACCCGGGGCTTCACCCCCCAACCCTCATTTTCACCGGTACAGTAGACGTTGACTTTGTGAGGGAGGCATAGACTGACAAGACCAGGTGCCACGGCTGCGCTCAAGGGAAGCTCCGGTCTGTCCGCGTTTGCCATGAGCAAGTTCGGAACCCGTGCGATGGCCCAGTCTCTGGCGCGAGAGTTCGGGCCCAAAGGTGTTCACGTCTCTCATGTCATCATCGATGGGATCATCAACACCGAGAAGACTCGGGGGTTCGGTGGGGAGACCGCAGACGCGAAAATTGATCCCCAGGGAGTAAGTGAACCTCGTTCCTTGTCTTTTTCTCCCGTGATGTCTTGCAAGTCTAATTATTCATTACAGATTGCGAGCTCATACTGGCATTTGCACACGCAGCCCAGGAGTGCATTTACGCATGAAATTGACATCAGACCTTTTTCCGAGAAGTGGTGAATGGCAGAAGTGGTTTCTGATCACGGCTTTGTTGGGTGGAACAAGAGAGAGGGAACAAGATGTCTCTGCCGGTGAGAAGGGAAATACTTGGAAACCCTGCAAACAACGACTTCTCTCTTGATTTCTATCATGATTTCTATCATGATTTCTATCATGATTTCTATCATGACTACATATTACCATAAAACGATAAATACAATCTGCCTGGTCGATTTAAACACAGAATCTGCTATCCACAAAAGGTCACAATCAACACTATTCAGGTCACGCAGCCTGTTAATCACCTCTTGGGACAGTGCTCACGAAAGAAGTCTTCCATCTTAGTCCACTGTATGTCGGAATAACGATCATTATCAATAGGGACGAGTTTGCCAGCACCGGAAAACATGTTCACCATGTATTGCATTCCCTGCCAGGCAGGGAAGATGTCGTTTTCTCCGCCAAAGAGGCGCATAGCACGGATCATAAACTCCATGAAACCCACAGTTCCCATCCATTTAGGTTTATATTCCACACCCCTGACCTTGGTCTGCGCCTGAGCGATATCTTGAGTGCTCACAGTAGCACTGGCGATGCGAAGGAAGTTGGGAGTGGGGTTGGGGTCCGCAGCGACAGCTGCTGTGTATGCAGCCGTGTCCACCATGGTCGTGAAATCGAGGAGCTGCGTGGTCGATCCGATGTAGGCAACCGTGTGTGCTTTATGGTTGATCATGGGCGAGTCGCCAACCAGAAGATCCATGAAGCCGCCGTTGAGAATGCTAGTCCATGCGATTCCGGACCTCCGCAATGTGGCGTGGAACTCCCGTCGCAGGTCCAAGTTGCGGTTGGATCCCTCTTTGGTCTTTGTGAAATCGAGAGAGAAGTCGGACGGGACGAATCTTGTGACTTTGGCAGCCACAGAAGCCTCCAGGAGCTTGCCCTGGGTGGTAAGGATCACATCCCTCAATCCTTGAAGGGTTGATACAACACACGTTGCTCCAGTCAATTCTTGAGTGAGAGCTGGTACTGCGGTGAGGTCGATAGGGGTGATCTTCACGCCCGCGTTGCGGAGCTTCGCGGTGCGCGAAGAATCTGTGTTGGGGCGGACAAGTGCCTTGACGGCGACACCGCGCTTGGCCAGCGCTAGTGCAACAAGCTGGCCCAAGCCGCCGGTGGCACCAGCCACTGCGACAAACGGTGGAGTCATTTTGGCTAGGTGGGAATTTGATCGGATCGGAGTGTCAAAAGAACAATCGGTAGATATTCGCCCTATCCAATTTTGTCGGAGCGAATCACCACGAATTAATAGATTTTGTCACGTCCATCATCGACAGGAAATTCCATTCAGCGCGACTAAGCTATGCAGCCGGACGTGCAGGGGCCCGCCGCAGCCCGGGCTACACATAGATTAGTCAGGGCTCGTTGCTCGGGGTTGAGAATGACACCGCACCCCCGAGCCGACCAGTTGATTTTCAATCTTTCCAAAGTTTCATAATTCTCTACTCCGTAGTCCGCACCTAGGTAAGGATTGCTACCTCATCGGTCTCGGACTATCTTTGACAAGCGAACAGCGATGGGTAGGGTCTCTCATTATTGGGTTGTAGACCTCTACCAATATATATATGTCATCATTCAAGGTTCAACCAATGCCGATGTATAGCTTGGAGAAGTCACGCCAAATACCTAGGTATACCTAGTACTAGGTACAATTCAAGGTTCCAAGGATCTCAACTGTTCCTGATTTGCGCAGTTTGATCTCCCCGGGTCATCCTGACCGAAAAGAAACATTCCCAGGTGACTTAACATCCCTTCTCCCTTCTACTAGGTACCTGGGAATTATGGCGACAAACAACACCCCCCTTAGTCCTCGGGAATTCATAACATTCAACCGCATGGCAGATAAGATGGAGGCACTGGTATCCGATCCCTGAGAACTTGGAACGAATGTGATGTTTCGCTAACAAGACCATTTCTAGCACCAATGGTTTCGGCTTCGTTGGAACACCATATATGAGGTGGCGAAATCATCCCAAAGACCGACAGGCATGTCTATCAAGAATTACTTGAATTTATGTTTGGATTTTTGTGAAAGTCTTGAAAGACATCACAAGATTGAAGAGGTATGAATAACTTGATCTTCCAACCCATTTATTCATCAGTTCACTCACGCTGGTGAACCCTTTCTCCAGACTCACGTTTTCCCTTTCCTCGCAACGCGTATGCCTGCCTTTACCAATCCTGGCGGAATGATCGCGCAGCACGAAGTCATCCACAAAGGCCTCGCAACACTTGAATCTTATGCACATAACTGTTTGCAAGGCGGGATCGACCTCCGGTGGAGTGAGCTCAAGGGGATACTAGATTCATTCGGGACGACTTTATGGGAACATCTAGCCGACGAAGTCCGGCAGTTAGGCGCAGAGGAGACACGCAAGTACTGGTCAGCGCATGACATGAGTCGAATGCCAATGTAATAATGCAAAGCGGCCAAATGTAGAAAGACCCTTGAGATTCCTAGCTGGAGGCAATTCTCAAGTTTGGACTATGTTCCACCCGTGGACCCATCCGATCTTCCTCACTTCGCGTAACATCAATTGGGGTTTATTGCTTACTCCAGGGCGGATCTGGGGAGCACCGAGGATTGGGAGATTAAATTGATTTGCATGAAGCACTTTCTCCACACCGGAGACCTGTCACACGAAGATTGTGCGTTGCGGTACCCAGGCAATAAACCGATGGGCACCTGGAAGCCTCCTGGCTGAGTGATGCCTAGTACAATGGATGTCCACAGAGATCTATGAATCAAAGGATAGGATACCCGATCAAATATTCCGGGTCAAGACTAGATACGCAAAAAGGCCCTCAGATCACCGTGAACTAAGCAATGTTCCCAGCAGTCGGTATACCAAGTTCAAAGCTGCAACATTGCGGAAGGGGATCATAATTATGAGGTTTATGCGATGCGTGCCTTCCCAGGGCTCTGTAGGTTCCAAGTTGTTTGCCAGGGGGGCCCTCATGATTTTCCTCTCTTTTCTTTTTACGCCTCCAAGGGATACACTGCATATATTATCTTCATCCAGTTGCTTCAATGCCCTGCCCCCGAGGATGCCCCTGATGTCTACCTAGGTAAGGCCCAGGGCTGGGATCGTCACATGAGCGGGGGCTGAGGTCACCAATGCGGGGACTGATTTTTCCGAAAGTCCAACCCCAACTCTCCGTTTCTATTCTCCCATGGCCACAGAATCCTCGAAACCAAAGCCCCCGCCGCGTGAAGTGGGATGGACATTGCAACACCGGAGCTGCCATGATTGCAACCGCCGAAAGGTTCGGTGCAATAGGGAGTACCCCTGCGATAATTGTGTCAGGTTGGGGATAGAGTGCACGTTTCCGCCACCAGGGCGTAGACCCCGGGCAACAGTCAAAAAGCCATCCCGCAAGTCGCAGTTACTCTCACGATTGAGCCTTTTGGAAGAAGAGGTTCAGAAACTCGGGGGACACAGTCAACCCCAACCTCCCTCTCCGGGTTTGCCAGAACAGCAATGTGGGCACCAGGACTCGCAAAACATCCTGAATGTGCAATCCTGGCTAGCTGGGAACTTGCCCGCGGATCAGTCAATGCAACCGGAGCAATATGAACCTGAAACGCGTGGGGACACCCAGCCGCCACACCAGACCTCTACAACACTGAGTGATGAATTTGGACGCCTGGTCCTGGACCAAAACAATGGGACCAGTCGGTATGTCAATCGCCGGGCTCTAACGGAGCTCGCAGATCAGGTATATGATAATCTTGTCGCGGCGCAATAGACAGTCTCAAAAGAACTCGCTAACCACACACTGATATACCAAAGGTCAAAGATATTCGAGACTTATTCGATGGGTTATCTTCACCTTCACCGTCCGGAGATGATGCATCTACGTCTGGCTCAGCAGAAGAAGGGCAAAATGAAACCCCTTTTATATTCGGTTATCGTTCATTGGCATCTTCACTACGTAGCTACCACCCACCCCAGAAGGCCAGCCATATTCTTTTACGTGCCTACGAGGAGAATGTCGCACCTATATTACGGATCATTCATAGTACCGCGTTACGAGAGTTGATTGAACTTGCGATCACGAAGCCAAATGAAATGGACAAAGGCTCTGAGGCTTTGATGTTTGCGGTCTACTTTGCTGCATCCTCAAGTATGACAAAAGCAGAGTGCCTTTCACAGTTGGGGGAAACCCATTCTTCCTTGACCAAAAGATTTCGATTTTGTGTTGAGCAAGCATTGGCGCGAGCTGGATTCCTTCATACCCGCAAATTGATAGTCGTACAGGCTGCAGTGCTGTTCCTCAGCTGCGCTTCTCATCCCAAGGATACTCACTTCGTCTGGACCATGATTGCTGCGGTCACTCGCCTGGGTCTCGGGCTAGGCCTCCATCGCGATGGGGGCCATTTCGAGTTAGGCCCATACGAAACGGAAATGCGCCGGCGGACCTGGTGGTACATTTATCTTCTGGACGTGCGGACATCTGAATCCCAAGCAACCAGCCATCAGATTCGACAAGGAGACTACAACACACTGCTACCATTGAATATTAACGATGACGACCTATCACCTGATATGACTGAGACTCCACGGGAACGATGCGGGTTTACCGACATGACATTGACTCTTGTCCGATGTCAAATACTCCTTTCACATCGGAAAATCATGCAAAGAAACGACCCGGCGACCGGCTCCCAGTACGAGATACTTCAAAGCCGCCTGCTTGCGATCAACGAGTGCCGACAGACTCTCGACGAGCAATACATTCGATACTGTGACCTCGCTATTCCAATTCACTGGGTAACCGCAACCATCGCACGTGTCGCACTCGCGCGTCTGTGGCTTACGTCGCACTTCTCACTCATGACCGCCGAAGGGTTCCAGCCAGACCTCTGGCCCGAACAATGCGATATTCTCATTTTAACCGCGATTGAAGTCCTGGAATTCGTGTATCTCCTCGAAACCCACGAAAACACCACCAAGTGGTCTTGGTTGTTCCAGGGATACGTTCAATGGCAATCTTTCGCGTTTGTCTTGTCGGAACTCTGCGTGCGCCCAATCTCTCCGCTCTCTGACCGTGCCTGGATAGCCGTGAATCGGGTATATGATTGGTGGAACGGGCCCGAAGCATACGGCCCCGGGTTGATGATGCGATCGTTAGGACGTCTGAAGGATCGCGCTGCTGCTGCGCGAGCCAGCGAAGTCGTCCAATCGCCGCTGGCTCTCCCTATTGAGGACGGTCTGAGCGATGCATACATTGAGAGGGCCGACATGGGGAAACACCCGCAACAGCTCGCCGAGAATTTACCGGCTATCGACACCGCATCCCTCGATATCTTCAGGGGCGTAGTTCACGACATGGGTATATAGCTTTAATTTTTCTTTGTATTTCCTCGAAAGATTTAACCAAGATTCAGGATGATGCTGGAAGTGAAGGACGGAAATTGAGGTAGGATACTTCATTCTCGTTTCTATAGACTCGCAGGACAAATCGAGGTCCTCCAGAGCCCCGGTAACTGGGGCAATTGGGTCCAGCACTCTTTGCCTGATCTGCTTTCCGATGACGATACGCACTACGCCAAGCGTGGATTACACAGCTTCACGATGAACCCATGCCCCGCATCCTCACGGGTCACAGATTGAAAACCGATAGACCAATCGGGGCAGAGAACGGCAGCTCTAGAGCTGAATAGGTGCTCCGCTAACATCTTGCCACTTCCTGGGTTTTCACCCTTCTACAGTACAGTATACCAGCGGGAGTACCGGGGACTGGAAATTGGACAATTTGATCTGGCAGCTGGACATGTCCAGCGCTGAATGATGTAGCCCCGACGCCGAATATCTCCGCCCAGGCGGTGCTCGGTGTTCGCGCTTTTCTTCAAGGCCGGGTCCACGATGCAGATCATCAGCCTCAGCCAATCACATCGGCAACGATGGGTCTCGGTGCACAACCTTGGAAGAGATCGCTCATCCATTTGGGAACACCACCTGCGCAACCCCACGTTATATCAGCAGCGGGGATCGGGCCTCACGCTCGATGCCGAAGCTGATTGATGGAGACCGCCACATCTTTCCGAGCTCCCGACTCCCGATCACTGCCCATCCACAGAGGTTATAAGATCACGATGACGACTGTACCCTATTCGATATTGCTCTCCACAATCACATAGTTTTTCTCAAAACGCCAATTGACAACTTTCAAAGAGTTCAAGTTTGATAATCATTGTTCATCATGGTTAACTTGATCACTGTTTTCGGTGCCACTGGCAACCAAGGCGGCTCGGTCATCGACTCCGTCCTCAATGATCCTCAGCTCTCCAGCGAGTTCAAAGTGCGCGGCATTACCCGTGACACCACCAAGAAGTCTTCCCAGGACCTCGCCAAGCGCGGCGTCGATGTTGTTTCGGTAATATCTCTCCATACGAGGCACGCCTCCGATAATTGATATGTTGAATCTAGGCCAACCTTGACTCCGTGGATTCCCTCACCGCCGCGCTGCAGGGCTCCCACACAGTCTTCCTCGTCACCAACTACTGGGAGACCATGAAAGCGGACGTGGAGTACTCTCAGGGGAAAAATGTTACCGATGTCTGCAAGGCTCTCGGCGTTTCTCATCTGATTTTCTCGTCGCTTCACCACGTAACGGAAGAGACGAAGGGTCGTCTCACCAACGTTCCCCACTTCGACAGCAAGGCAAATGTCGAGAAGTACATCCGCGCCTCCGGAATCAGCTGCAGCTTCGTTCTTCCTGGATATTATATGTCCAACTTCTTCCAGATGCTCAACCAGGCCGAGGATGGTTCATACCAGCTCTTCTACCCTGTCAACAACGATGCCAAGTTCCCTCTGTTTGACGCCGCCCAAGACACCGGTAAAAGATTCTCTGCTCCTTTACACCCGGATCCTGCAGCTGACTTGTTTGACTATAGGCCTCTTCACGAAGGCCGCTCTCAAGCACAAAGGTCAATTGAAGAACCACCAGATCTTGGCCGCTGCCAAATATTACACTCCTCAGGAGATCGTCGATACCTTCTCTCGGGTCTCTGGCAAGAAGGCTATGTTCATCGAGGTCAACGCGGAGCAATACAAGGCCTCCCTGCCACCCGCTGTTGCGACGGAATATCTCGAGAATCAGCTCTTTGTGGCTGAGCCTGGCTACTACCTTGGAGAGCCTCTCGAGCCTAGCTTGGAGCTTCTTGACAACCAGCCCACTAACTGGGAGCAGTTTGTCCGGAAGAACCTGTCTTCCTGGAAATAAGTCGACTGCTGGGAATTCCTTTTTCGGCCATCGGTATCATGCCCCAACTTTGCAAGGCGAACAACTGCCACCCACAAAGACCGGCACTATTTGCAAATTGATTTTCGCACAAGAAGATTATAGTTTTGTATACACCTTCTTATTATCGTTTGTTTAGCTGCAAGAATCCACTGAGCTTTGAAACGCCTCTTTTCGAAAGTACTAGTCATGTCTGCTGCATCAGTTTTCGTCATGTGAACTACCTAGCACTTCCACGGTTTCAAGATGGTCATTTGCCAGAGATCGATCTATCTGTTGGTATACTGGAGTTTTCACCTCGTAAAGATCAATTATCTTCAAAACAGAAAAGCGTCGACATATCCTCGGGGTGTAATTGCCACTCTTTGCGATTTGAGACATGCAGGGCTGCCTCGAATTCCCCCCTCCGACTCATACCTGACATGTGAGGTAGTGTTGTCCCAATAAACACGTGGACTAGGTATATCAATCCGAAGATATGAGGTTCCAAGTTCATCTGCGCGTAGGAATAGCTGTCAGAGGAACATTTCGGTGTCTAGGCCACCTCCATGTTGTTTTCACTATACTGTTGGAACGTCCAAGCACCGAGGACTGACCAATTTATACATGATTGAATCCTGACACGCATTGTGCACATACTGAAAGAGGGAGGTGAGTGAAAGCGTAGTTGTGATAATTGCAAGCACTGGGGCCGAAGATGAGAGTCTCAGTTAAGAGCTGAATCCAAGGTATAGGTTATGGAATCTCGGAAATGTACTATGAGCTACTCGGGGAACCCCATTCTATTGGAATGTGGCAAAGCCTCCAGTCACCAGTGAGGCCAGCTCAGGAGGTTGGCTCTTCTGAAAAACATGCGACTCGTCGTTATGTAGTGAAATTCACACTATACATGCGACCCGATAGGCCTCCAAGCAGGTGAATTCAATACTTCTGTGCGGAGAAATAGCACACTTCTTGAAATATGTAATGATCCAAGACAGACAGCCCATCTAGTATTATGTGGGCCCCTCAATATAGCACGACTCGAAAGTGGAGATCTGTTCGGCCTCGGCATTCAGATACAACGCCGAGCGAGAGGTGGCGAGTTCTCCGTTTGCGTCTACTGGTAGTGATTACCCAACATCTTCTTGCTCCCTGTTCCTCGGTCATTGCTTGACACTAAGTCCATTTATCAGATGACTTGAATTTCTTTCGCGAAAGAAAGCACCATGAATCCTGTTCCGGTCATCATTTGCGGCAAGTCTGCCCATGTTGCAATTGGAGTGAAAGAGGGCATCAGGCCGTTCTACGAGGGTTAGTTAGTGGCTGTTTTCACGATATGTGCGTCTGAGGTCTCGAAGAACTAACGCCGTGGAAGCACTTCATGTCGTCAATTCTGTGCAGGCTGGAATAGGCGACATTCCGCCTCTGCTGCAGGGGAAAGCCCCTCCATCTAACGAGCAGGCTAATCTTGGAAGTCAAGAATACGGTCGACGGGTTCAGGCGATCATAGTCGGCGGTGGATTCAACGATGCAGACCTACAAAGGCTTCGAGATGCTTGTAGAGGATACGGCAATGTGCCATGGCTACGGCACGACATAAGCAAGGATATCGACCCGAGACAGCCCAGGCCGAGAGTGGGAATCGAATACGGCGAGGATACTGCAAAGAAAATAGTCAGCCGTTTAGATATCTTGAGAGCCGAGGGAAAGATGGAAGAAGATGGAATGTATTGGTTTTAGTCAAAGTCATCACCTCGCACCCCGGGATCTTCAAATTAAAAAAAGGGTCGAGAATGATTGAATGAACCTTCGATGTGAATGGTTCCTCACACACTTGCATACCTAGTACATCTCCAAAGATCACTACCCGGGCTGTCAGGCATTATGTCGTATAGTCTATGTGGCGTATGTCACATCGAAAGGAGCCCTAGGGCGGTTGCCGGGTTGGTTCGGGTAACTTCAAAGGTTCCGACTAGCGACTAGGCCTGGAGTTATTTTCCAACGTTCAACGCTGAAGGGTCAAAGCCTCGGGATTGATCCATGCAGCTGCAGCTCGATGTCCAACCACCATGCCCTAGTCCTTTGCTCGACGGCGTGCTTTCCGAGGTCTGAAGCAGAGCATCAAGGATCCATAGATCAAGTTATGCAGACTAGTGACGAGTGAAAGGATCTATCCATGGATGGATGGTGCTTGGAATGATCCAGTGACAGAAATATACTAGTATCATGTATGAAAATGGCAATGCCGATTCAAATACCTAGGTACTGTAACAATAGGATACAAGCTTAATACCTATACTTACAGCTGAGCAAAGAGAGACCGGGCATATTTAGAAACCAAAACATCACATGGGTGGTGATGAAATTTGGAAATCCCATCTGCGCCCCTAGACAGGGGTTAGATTGATCTTGACGCGCCTAGGAAGGGCAGCCGCTAGAAGGGTAGTTGCAGCTGCTTGTCTCGCCGCCACCAGTGATCGAAACGTCGGTGAAAGTGAAACCGGAGCAGCTGTCATCACCACACAGAATGTAGTAGTTGTAGGCGTCGTCGGTGCAAGCGCCAGTCACATCGGTGAAGGTAACATCGGTGATGCTGACTCCGTTGGTGGGCTCGCCAGTGGGGCCACCGTTAAGGTAGTCCTGCTGGATATCGATACCGTAGTCGGAGATTCCAGACATGGTGATGTTTTGGTAGACGATGTTGCTGACCTGTAGAATGATCAGTAATGTCCCAGGAAAAGGCAGAACAGCAGATGTGTTGGTGCACTTACACTACCAGTAGTGTCAGAGTTGCTCTTAATACGACAACCATTCTGGCTGTCGACAATTTGGGAGTTCTTGAAAGTCACAGTGTCGACAGTGTTGTTGCTCTTGCCGCCAATTGAGCCAATGCTCAGACCGTGACCACCAGAGCAGTAAATGTTATCAATCACAATTTCAGTTCCACTGGTGACAGCAACACAGTCATCCTGGTTGTAGACGACGATGTTCTCCAGGGTCACGTAGTCACTGCCAGAGATATCAAAGCCGTCAGAGTTGTGAGCAGCTGCATCATCTCCACTGGCAGAGTTGGGCTCATCACCATCGGAGTTGTCAAGGGTAAGACCGGAAACGGTGAGATGCTGCACACCGCTGATGTAGAAGCAGTGGACGGGCCAGTTTTTGATATTGAGGTTGGTGACCTGGGAGTTGTAAAGCTTCTTGAGGACAATGAAGTGGTCCGGCCTGGAAGATCGTAAGTTGTTGAAACTGGAGCAAGACTGAAGAAACTCACTTGTCCTGGCCACCGTTCGATCCTTCACCATCCCAGTAGGCCTCGCCGTTGCCGTTAATGACATGTCCAGAAGCACCCGTAATAGTAATGTCATGTCCGGAGATGACAATAGGATCAAAGTCCTCATCGAAGGTGTCGCCAAATGTCTATTGGAATTAGTATAGTATGAATGGAGTTGGTTCACGAATTTATACCGTAGTACCGGCAAAGGTGACAGTGGCGCCAGTCTGAAGGCTCTGCAAGTCAATAGTGCTGGAAGGAGGAGCCGAGATGTTGGAAAGCACGATGTTGGTGCAAGACTCGACGGCAGAGGAGATCGAAGCATAAGCAGTCACCACACAAGTTGTACCAGTTCCACTAGCTTGAGAAACCGAGTCGGCAACAACAGGTGCAGCAGTGACGGAGGTGATAGCAGACCGGGTGGCTTTGACTAGGGTTGTGGGAGAGGTAACCTTCACCGGGGTAGAAGTAGCGATTACCTCGCTAGTCGCAGTAGGAACGGTAGGAGCAGCATCGCTAGTGGTCACAGGCTCCTCGGAAGAAGCTTCACCAGCAGCAGCGGTGGTCCACGCGGTGTCAATGCAGCTGCATGCACTGGAGAGGTGCTTGATGTTGTTATCACAGGCCGAAGCGAAGGTAGGAAGGTCCGTGGTCGCTGTCACTGAGCCTGTAGTGAAAGTAGCACAGAAGGCCTCGGCGTCAGACCTGGACGCAGTATAAGCGGCAGCGCAGGCATCGTTGGCAGGATTGTCACAGCCCAAAGCCAGGGGCAGAAGAGTAAGCAAAAGCGCACTGCGCATTTTGTCTGAAAGAATGAAAGTATAAAAAATCGACGAAAAAAGGAATGAGAATTGAAACTAAGTGAAAGACAGAAAAAGAGCGACCTGGGGCATGCTAAGCAATGAGCCAAGACGGGTGTTTATATAGATCGGTTCGAAATTTCAACCACTGCAGACTCCGCCCCGCTGGAATATCATCAGATTCGGCATAGTCGAAAGAGTGTTGTATGTGAGACGCTAATGCTGACGGTTGACGCGTCGGTCAATGGATTATGGGATATGTCGACCGAAGCCGAAGCTGGTAAATTGCACGGAGGCCAAGTGACATCGAAATTTGAGTGGGTCACTGTCAGAGAAGACGCTAGCACAGGGGCATTGCTGCCGAACTGTTTCAGCTGGAGGGGAATTGCCCGGCATTTCGGCATATGCTATCTAGTCTCCCTTGTGCCAAGCGGTTAGTGAACTTAGCGTGATTCAAAATAGCTTGATTCTGCTCGAACATGACCCACCTCGCTTGAGAGACTGTCTGAAAGGTCGTCTAGAGCTTGATTCAGACTGGCGATTAGAGATGATATGAACTGACGAAGTATATGTCCCAGGACTGCCAGGTGAGCCCTTTAATCTACAGTATGCGTATTCACATTTATCACTAGGATAAGTCAGAAATGGATTAACTCGGTTGTCCACACATATATATTTTGGTACTTAATGATGTTAATCAACAACTTGGAAATATTTTGGCTTAGTTAGGGAAATAAAGAAGATAGATTTTAAGAAATCGTAAAATATCTATAGAGAGGGATTCAAGGAAAAGAAATGATGCAAAGTCCTTCTATGTTTTCTTTTCTCTTCTCTCTCTACATCTAGATATTCCTCTCTCTCCTCTCTCTCCTCTGTCCTCCCCCTCTTTCCCATTCTTTCCCATTCATCTCTCCATTCTCTTGAATTATTTTTCTATTTATTTAACGATAGATATCGCAGCATGGGAAAGGAGACCCACACATCATGACCATATTTTCACGGATGCGAAGTGCGAGAGAAAACAAAGGTTCACGATAGCAAAGTTATTCGTCTCAAAAGATAGGATAACTTTTCGTTGGAAAGCCTTGACTGTAAAGACAAAATCAAGAAAAGGAAAGCAATCAAGAGAAGAACCATGAATCAATCCCGAGGTCAGAGACGTAGCTGGTACTTTGGCCTTATTTCGGCAATACTTTGAATGTTCGGCAATCGCACCGGCGCTCGGCAATCAGCGTTGGAATAAAACACCAGTCTCCAACCTTGCAAGGGGGTCATTTCTATCACCCATTCACCAGACCCAGAAGACAGCAAACATACTACTAAGTCATGGAAGGAACGATACTGATCACTGGCGCGACTGGGTCCCTTGCCATCCAAGCGATCCAGCAGATCCTTTCATCCTACCCGTCAGCAACCATCGTCGGGACAGTCAGAAATGGAAATGCAACACCAAAAAGCCCTCAAGTGCTTCAACTGGAAGAGATCATCTTACGCCATGGAACCAGCAAGTCCTTGATCAAGAATGTGGATCTCAACTCCATCACGGAAGTTCGGGAGTTCGCCAATGAAATCGCCGGCATGGTGCAATCCAAAAAGCTGCCCCCAATCAGAGCCGTCATCTGCAATGCATTCACATGGTCTTTGAATGGTCAACAGTTTTCGCGTGATCGCTTCGAGTCGACGTTCCAGGTCAATCATCTTGCGCACTTCTTGTTGGTCCTGAAACTTGTGCGGAGCATGGATCGCGAGACTGGTCGCATACTCATGATCAGCTCTGAGGTGCACGATCCCGACAATGTCAACCCTCTCTCAAAACTGGGAGCAGGTTTACCCGCCCACGATGATTATGATCGCTTGATCAAGCCGGGCCCCGACAAGGTTGGATCAGAACATGACATGGGCTGGCAGAGATATGCCAACAGCAAATTGGCCAATGTCATGTTCATGCAGAGTCTGAATAGGCGACTGGCAGAGGTAGGAATACATCAAAATCTGGTAACGCGGTAGATCCATTGCTAATCAAACGATCAGACTTCAGAATTTAACAAGATCACGGTCACGGCCATGAACCCAGGTGGCCTCGTTGACTCTCGTGCTCATGATGCGCAGCGTTTGATCAATCGAATTCTTTTTGCAATTTCCGCGTTTCTCTTGCCAATCATCAGTCTCTTCACCTCCAAGCTTCGGACAAGTGCAAATTCAGCAAGGGATGTTGTTGCTCTGGCCGTGAATCAGGAGTTTGCATCAAGAAGAGGCTATTTCGACGGGAGAACCCCCCAGTCGCCTGCCCGTGCAAGTAAAGATTGGGAGGAGTGCGAGGCTCTTTGGAAAGCTTCTTGGCAGTGGACTGGCATGGAAGATGCTGAGACTTGCATTTCTCCGTAAATCATCTAGTTGAACCTTGGAATACACGTAATGTTTTGGAACCGAAGCCAAACGAGCAGATCACAGGAAAACAGACGATATTATACAGTTGAAAATTGGAAGTAAATCAAATCAGACGTCGTATCGTACAAAAGCAGCCCCCAAAGAGTTACAGCTCGTCATGCGGTCGATAGACCACTTTTTCCGCAAGCAAACGAGGGGTGTTCACATCATGACTGGGCAGGATGACCACATCAGTGACTTTAGCGAACTCCTTGATGGTCTTCAGAGTCTCAAGCGCGCGCATAGGATCATCATTGATACCGTCAGGCTGTTCCTTATCCAGAAGGTCCAAGCCATACGTTGCGTCTCCAGGGAGGAAGTATGTGACTTCAGTCTCCCCCGGCCCATCATTACCATAAACCACCACACTGATATGCCCCGGAACATGCCCTGACGTATCTACAATCTGTATTTTCCCATCCTCCGTAACAGGATAAGACTGCTTCCAGGGCCCAAGGGGTTTATCCTGAAGATCGAAGACCATTGGTGAAAAGTCCTGAGGCCAATGATTCGGCGTTGCACCTTCCATGCTCGCGAAGGTAGGATGTTCTCCAAAGGCCTTCCAGTGTTCACGGCTCACATAGATAGGCAGGCTTGGTGCTTCAGCAACGAGGTCCTCCAGCCCACCAGCGTGGTCATTATGGAGATGCGTCAAAATGACACCTTTGAGATCAGTTGCCTTAATTCCAAGCTTATGAAGCTGCTCAAGGATTCCGTCATGGTGCTCAATTGTGAATTGACTCAAGAAGCCGTTGAAAATGGCAAGTTTGGGGAAATATCCCGCGTCGTTGCAGCAAGGTGATTGTCCAGTGTCCATGAGAAACATGCCTTCGGGGTGGTGGATGAGGAAAACCCCCACTGGTAGAGGCTCAGTCCATTCTCTGTCAAGGAGGGAGCGAATACGTCGAACAAGTCCGAATTTGCTGGCTGGTTGTGAGCGCATGGAAAGACGGATGCGCACAGTTCCGGTTGTCAGGAATGTCAACTTGACATCTCCAGCATTTGGATGAGAAGGCATGTTGTGAATGGGATGTAGTCTCAAGAACAAACGAATTGTCTGATCAATAAATGATTTCAGTTTTAAGCTGAATTCTCTTAGCTCGACAGTTCGGCTGTCAGTGGATAGCCGAAATTGGAGATTCCGAGAGCCGAGAAACAGGCAAAAGTTCCTCCGTCGGGGAAATTGATGACCGTGGTCCACACTAACTGCATATGAAATAGCTCCTGCTGGTCTAGACTGCCGATTATCTGCGGGTAAGTGAATCGTCCCATCATCAATAGTCAAGTTTACCGTGCTGAGTGTCATCCAGTGTTTGGCTCAATCCCAAGCAAATCGAGGGAATCCAAGTTTTTTGACATTAGCTCCGGGGTGTTGACTAATTTTTGATGGTCAACGACCCGATTCGATAGTATCAAGGACAAACTGGGAAATTAGCAGCCTAAAAGAACGGGTATAAAGCTCTGAGATTCAACCGCACTTGCCACGCTATTGGCAAGCACTCAAATTGTTCAATTCGTATCCGCTAAGAATGGCATAGGCCTTCAACTCATCGGCGCGTCAAACAGGAACAAGGTCCAGTCTACCGGCCAATCTTGGTAATCCATGCCATCCATAGACAAAGTAGGAAGGTCGTTGAGGTCCTGGTCTCCATCGTTGCTACAGTGTAGCAACTCGAGGATGGGACAGAATTTCAGCGGGAAGGGAAACAGCCTAGTCATATCCTTTCTTCTCTCTTCAGGCACATGGCTCAAATCATCCGCCCGAGGAAACATGGTTGCACCGAGATTGCCGAGGGTATCAATCTTCCCACGAACCATAGAAGCAGACGTATGCTTCTCGCTCATTTTTTCGAGTACTTGTTGGCTGATTTTGAGCTCATGCATTCGGTCCGGGTTGATTATGTCGCTGTCGCTAAATGCTCGCGGAATCGCTGCGACAAGGTTTGCCCAGGAGTGGATAGGGAGTAGATATTTAACATCCTCGTGATACAAAACCTCCTCGTAAAGTCGGGAGATGCAAGACGAGGCAACGATCGAGGCGTATTTCAGGCATGTTGAGTTATCCCGCCGACCGAGGGAGCAGATCATTATGACGGTCACCAAATAAAAGATGTGAAGCTCGACGGCTGGGCGATGGTAAGCCGTTCGTTGTTCCCTGTCGAACAAGTTTAGCCCGACCGGTAAACGCTCTCTCCACATGATCAGATCTTCGAGGCTAGAGTACACTTGATCTTGCGGAGTGTCCTGGTATCTTCTGAGATCGATAGTCTTTCTCAAATGGGTACAGAGTGATGCCAGCGCACAGAATGATGCAGCTCCTAGATCAGTAGGATCTTCGAAATCAGTCGTCTCGGGCAACAGAACCGTTGTTTCCTTCAATGGGAACATCCCAGGGCGACCGCAGCATGACATCTGCAGAGTATCGTTTATGAAAAGATACCACCAGATTCTTCGCAATCCCCCAGGATGCGTGAAGGAACGATATGCCCCGTCCTCGTGCAAGTGCAATTGTATTCCCAGTCTAATTGCCATACCTGTCCACTGCCACGGGTTGTCTAGGGTAATAGCCTCGGGCGAGTATGGGAGCCAAGTGCCAAGGATGCAGAGGGTAGCAAGCATGTGGAACGGGCTTGGGTCGTGATGAAGAAACAACAGTGTTTTTAAGCGCCCATAGATCGAAAATGCAGACCAATCCGCTGATGGGATTGATGCTTCACGCATGGTACTACCGGCAAAGCACAGTGCTTGCTGTAGTAATATAGAGGTCGAAGTTTCAGATTGCCCACGGTCCAGGACTGGAACCAAGAAGAAGAGCTCACGGAAGTAAAAGTCGGATAAAGCGTGGGCGATGACAGGAGGCGGAAGACGACATGCCTGACTGACGTCTAGAATGACCGCGCCCCCTTCTATAAACGTTGGCTGTCTAGTAATGTCAGCTCCGTTGACTGGTATTGAGCAGTTTGGCTGTTGGTTTCCCAGGACACTGAAAGATGACGTTGTTTCGTGTGGGGTTATATCTCGCTCGGCGGCCACAACCGGTCGATCCGGGGATACAGTGGCCACATTGCATCGAGTAAGTGAGGAGCGGATAGCTCGTTGTTTGCGTGGACCAATGTGAGGATGACATTGGTGGTTTTCATGCTGACATCGACTGCAGATCCCACCGGGGCGATCCTCTAGATCACATTTCACCTTTTCCGGGGTTAGCTTTGGATCCCTCTCAAAATGACAGAACATACCTTGCGGCTATGGCATCGGACACACACCGCCCGAGCTCGACGCTTGTCCGGGGTTCTCGCCATGGGATGTCAGGAGAGAGTGTTTGCCGATGTTTGCCGACGCGTGTGCTGGTTAGCCGAGATGACGTAATCTCGAATAGCCGAACTCGGCGGAATGGCCATCGACCTCAATCCACCAGGTCTCAGGCTAATTCAGAGGATTTGACATCTCGAAACTGTCAGCTTGGACCATGAAGCAGTCAGAGACCTCCAGCCATACTCTTGGCCATACTCTTGGAAATTGAAATTCAAACCACCTGGGACGATGCCGCCCCTTAAGGGGCTACAAGTGCACTAATCTTCATGTCCTGCATCTCTTTCCGGCTGCATTGCAACGGAGCGCCCTGTGGTTCCTGTTAATTCTTTGGCTCTCGCTGCTCTCGGAAAGCTGATATTGGCACGGTCGAGTAGCGCGTGATCTTTCGGTTGGCATCATCAAGCCGGTGCCGCGCATTGCTTTCGAAACATGTACCGACTTCCGCCCGCGCGTCTCTGCCCCTGTCTTCGGAGCAAAACACCAACTTCAAGGCAACTCTGCCGGTCAATGTCGAATGCCCGACCATCATCCATACCAGATTGGAACTCTAACGATGAATTTTTCAAATTAACGCGTGGTCGCTTTGTCCCAGACGAGGCAGAGAATCTTCGAAGGCGAGAGATCAAATTCGACATGAATAGACTCGCAAGTGTGGTCGCCGACTCGGTCGGCGCCACTCGATGCATTTACATCAGCAAGTAGCCCGACGGCATGTTCAACAAAGCATTCCTCATGTCCATGGACGATGGTCAAGAAGTCATAGCCAAGGTCCCCAACCCAAATGCTGGCGTTGCACACTTTACTACGGCCAGTGAGGTCGCTACGATGGACTTCGTAGGTTCGCCCCGAGCCGAATTTGAGTCTGGCTAAGGAGGCTGTGCTGCGAGGCTATAACTATCCTTGGCACACCAGTACCTCGCGTGCACTCATGGAACTCACAGGCAGAGTCGCATCCCGTTGGGGCTGAATTCATCATCCTGGAACAGGTGGAGGGGGTTCCACTCTCTCACGTCTGGGGGACGATGAAATTGCCCCAGAAACTCCAAGTGCTTCTTGTCATGACACGTCTCCAGAAGCAGTGGCTGAGCGTGTCATTTTCACATTACGGCAGCTTGTACTATGCAAAAGACGGGCAGCCATTGACTGGCAATCAATACGTTAAGGATGGCAAGGTAGTCAGAGATTCGGAGTTTGCTGTTGGTCCGGCTACAGGCCGGGATTGATTTGATGCCGGCCGATCAAATTTGGACATAGAGAAAGGGCCATGTACGTCGTGGTTCGTGTTTTCTTCGTGAACCACTGAAAAGTTTGCAGGGGAATCCGCAACGCAATTTCTTCAAGCAGTCGGGACGCGGGAGATGAAGGCGATCCATTTTTTGGAGCCTCCGAAACAGATTGCTCTATTTTGTGGCCCAAATCTCTACCGACCAGACGCGGAAAAGAAGCTTCCTGCTCTAGCATGGTACCGACGAATCATCGAGGCGATTATCCCAAAGAACACTGCCCTCACCACCCCTTGTCTGTGGCATAATGATTTGCATGATGACAACATCTTCGTGGACCCCCAGAATTCCGAAAAGATAACAGGGATCATTGTCTGGCAGTCTTGTCACGTCTCGCCACTCTTCAACCAAAATCCCGATCCAGCATTCCTGGGTTGGAATGGCCTCGAGCCTGAGACTCTCGAGTTGGCGCCTCGGCCGAAGCTCTCTGGACTTTCTCCAGAAGAACGATCCTCGGTTTTATATGAGTACACAACGCAGAACATGTTGATAGGATGGCGGAAACTCATGCATGCCAAAAACCCAGACCTGTATCAATTGGTCGAATTTCGAAAGACGACAGCTTACGGGCTGATATTCCTTGCCCACCGAATGTTCGAGTACGGCGAGGCACATTTTCAGTCGCTTATGGTCGATCTGAAGGACACCTGGACAGACGCACCTGCTTCCAACGGCGTCCCGTTCCCGTTCACGGTTTCAGAAGCGGACATTGGGCGTATCAAGGTGGATTGTGCTGGCGCAGTGGCAGGAACCGAGCTTGTTTCGGAGGTCAAAGAGAGAATGGGCGAGTTGTGGCCGGACAAAGGCTTCGTTGAGCACGAGCGATACCACGATTGCAAAGCAGCCCTTCAGCAGATCAAGAGCGAGACAATTGAGCAATTGGATGAAACGGAGGAAAAAGCCGAGTACGAGCAATGTTGGCCGTTTGAATGATTCCTTGATCTAGGCAATGACGGGACCCTTGGGAATTTGTTTGTGAGAAAACGGTGAACTAACCATAGGCAACAGGGAAGATATACCTGGATTTCCCAATAAAAAGACGGGAATCGATGTACTCCGTAGTAGCAAATTAAAAACCATTCATTCCGATCTAATTAATGTTCAACACACGTAGAGTTGACTTGACTTAACAGGCATAGGCTTGAACAACAACTTGACTACGTGTGCGAATCAAAGCATCATTCCGATGCATGATTTGTACAAAATAAAAGACCAAAATCGGGAGGTCAATGCGAGATTTGCCCCATCGGAGCTCACTGCGGCTGTGCCAAGTGGCGATGTTTCACCTGTTCGCTATAAGTGCCCCTCCTGTTCTCACTTCAGTTCCTACATTGAAACTGCATCTCCTTCACCATGGCTCCTCTCAGCATCAACGTAACGGGCACATCATCCGTCAGCCACCAGCCAGAGCGCTGCACCCTCAAATTCTGCATCAAAACAAACGGCTCGGAGCAAGAAAAAGTCGCTGAAAATGTAACCAAAGCAGCCAACGTGCTCCAGGGCTGGTTCAAACAATTCCACACTCCCGAAGTCTCTACAAGCACACAACCAGTGACAAGATTCTCAACATCGAACATCACCGCCTGGAAAAAATCCAGGGACGACAACGACCAGCCCGTCCCAGACCCACACCACGCCAAGATCAACTTCACAGCCATTTTCCAGGACTTCACCGCAATGGGCAGAGTCGTCAGCTCACTCCTGGCTTACCCAGAGGTCGAAATCGACTCCATAGACTGGAGTCTTACCGACGAGACCGGGAAGCGACTGTCATCCGACGCTCGCAAGGGCGCATTGCGCGATGCCATTCAGCAGGCTCAGGACCTTTCGGAGGTTTTGGGTCGTGAGGTCGTTGCTGTGGAAGTGTCGGACTCGGAGTTTTCGCCGGCTCCTCCACTGAGATATATGATGAGTGCGCGAGGCCCTGGTGGTTTCCGGGATGAGTCGCCTCCGCTTGATCTTACGCCTCAGGAGATTGATGTCAAGTCTTCTTTGCAAGTGAGATTTGAGGCTGTGTGATTTCATGATTTCAATTATTTGTCTGTTGAGCCCGGCATAGGAATGTCAGGCGTGTCTCCTACGTCTGTGAAGGCATATATTTGAAGTCGGAATGGTCGAGTTCGTCGAAGAATATCGGACACACATTCCATACTATTTTTAATTATCTCATTCTTTTCGAAATCGAATCGATCGCAATTCTATACAAATTTGAAAACACATTAATAGAGTGCATAATGTGCACGATCATTTCAATCCAACATTTAGCGCGAGTTGGAATTGAAAACTTCCCACATCAAAGTATCAAAGTCAGGAGCGCCTCCGAAGTCCATAAAGCCCCCTGGCATAGTATCATTCAGCCAGCTCATAGAATCAAGGGCGGGATCAAACTCATCCATAAAGGGGTTATCCGGCACACCGTCGAGTCCAGTATCAGCCTGGGGTGTAGGAAGGAGTTCCACAGCCTGCGTTGTAGCGTGGGACCTTGAAGCTCTCCCAGAACCGGAGCTCAGTTGATTAACTCTGGGTCTCGTCGGATTCGCAGATTCCAAACTCCTCACTTTGAGAAGTCTTTGAACAGTGGCACCGGATAACTCGTGGATGCAGTCTCTGGCTCGTTTGGCTTCGGTCCAGTACTCTCCTATGCTGCTCAGGATGTTGAGGCTGATGCTCGTGTCCGCCACCACTTCGTCTATTTGCACCTCGGAGGCGACCCGGGGGAGTCTCCATAGGCAATGGAGCATGATGAGGGTACTCAAAAAGATTGAGTGCACTACAAGTCGGCTGTATAAGAGAGCTTCTTGGCGGTAAAGCCCCCCGAATTCACGAAGAAGATACACGGCATGCTGGAAGCATTGACCGAGCATTTCCTCTGAAGGATCTGGGATGCCGGGACTCGGTCGGAGGATCAAGATCATCATTTCGTGATACTTGCACTCGCAAATCTTCACAATTGAGTCGCTCGAAGGTGCCATAGGTATTTCTGCAAGCCATGAGTGTAAACGATCAATCATTTCTTTTTGCCATAAGTGAATGTCTGCCACAGGAGGGTAGGCATATCGTGGCGTATCTCTACAGATACTGTGCATGACATATTTGATCTCAGAATTGATTTGTGCCAATTTGAAGAAATGGATTGAAAATGTCATGTGCGATGTTGGCGTGTTGATGGCTTCACTCGTGGGTGTTGGCCCAAGAAGATCATTGTCAGATGCATCGGAGGGAAGCTGAAGCCGCTGTTAGATTCACCCGGACGAAAAAGATGAAGATCACCACTTACCCGCAGTTCACATGCTTCATCTCTTATTCCGATCGGTCGGCCCATCATCGTTCCTAGTGTGCGATCGAAGCTGTATACAACCCAAAAGATGCGCGTCCTCATTTCCTGCTCCAGATATGATATAGGGAATGCCGGAGATGTGCGAACATCCCGTTGCAGACCCAGGTCAATTAACGCACTCAGGCATTGATAATTCACGCTCCACACATTAATATCGCAGGATGGATTGTGAAGGCCGTAGACCATCAGTAGTAATAGACTTTGGAGTCCCTGGAGAGACCCCTCCGCACATGCAAGTTCGAAGTGCGCTGCCGCTGCCGTATAGTACCCCTCCGCCGGGAGAGGAAGTCGGAATCTGCGTGCGAGGTCCGAAGCCGATATGGCGAGTACCATGTAGACGTGAAAGGCATCAACGGGGTCGTGGTTGGTTGAAGAGTACATCCTCTCCAGTCTGGTCAAGTGGGAGGGCTCGTGCAGGAATGGGTACATCAAATGCACTGACATGAAGAACTTTGAGGTGAGTTCCATTGCGTCCTCTTTGCGGGTAGGAAGTTGAGCCGGGGTGTTGAAGAAATCCGAGGACAGAGACATAGGCCGAATCGGGCCTTCACCACTGCCTTGGACATTCTCCCGGGATGATGCTGCGCGCCGGCCCGCGTTGGAAAAAACGAGGTTTGCTAGAAAATATCCACTCGAGGGACCGATGTATCTGGGCTCACCTCCGGAGGGAAGAGAGACAAGGCCGATTTCGTGAGCCGGTCTTGATTGTGTCCGGGGTTGCTGGTCTGCATGCACTGTTTGTTCGTTATCGACGTGAGGTGTGTGTGACCGCTGGGCTCGGTTGTCTTCCGACGTGGCCGGCTCAAGCTGTGTTCCGCCCTCTGTGGGTTCAAGGAGTGATGTATCTGACAAGTCGACTTGCGGGCCATCCTCGAGACGGATACTTTTGTCCTGCTCCTGGATCAAAGCCTCCAACCATTGCACTCTTTTTTGGAGATTTGCGATATAGCTGAGATGACGTGGTTAGACGAAGAACCGCTCCAGAATCAATGGCCGAGGAAAGGGAAGAAGGAAAAACGACTCGATAAGATTACTCACGTCCGACTGACCTCCTGCTTGCCATCAGTCACGCAGTCGACATTGGCCTTTCTGCACGACGCGCAGCGGGGCAGATCCCCGTCGCAGCGGATCTTCCGTCTCTGACATCTCCGACACGCAGCGCGGTTCCGCGACCGACGCGGGGAGTCCATTCAGAAAGGAAACAAATTAGGAAACAGTCAAGCATTCGATATAGGATGCAGATATGACACCGTAGCCCGCAAATAGCCAAGCGACCAAAGGAGACAGCGAAGATGCAAAGGCGAAGTTGGTTTCGGAGACGGGAGGCTTCCGTCAGGATACCGACCAGTTGGCACCTTTTTGCCCACTGTCTCTGATATTATGATTGATCGCGACTAGTTGATCTCATTTCTCTAAGCACTAGTAAGAAAGACTTCTTCTCCCCATTTTTTTGGGGAAAAAAGGGCTTGTTTGGTGATAATTCGAAGGCTACTGCGTATAGAGTCAGGGCTTGGCGACGGAAGACATCCGTCGGGGGCGACACTTAAAAGGGACGGGCATTCCCTACTCAGCACTCAATACAATTCTCTAAAATGACTCTCGTTCACATCGGTATGGCCTATCATAACACCCTTGCATCCTCACTCACGTTCCGATAGTATTGTTCAAGTTCCGAGCGGATGTCGCAGACGCAGTGCGGCAGGAATTCCTGACTCAAATCAAGACTCTCAAGTCACTACCTTGTGTGAAAAGCCAAAGACTGGTGGTTGGCGGACCCTCGATCACGACTCCAATTGAAAAGAGCAAAGGCTTCCAATATGCGCTCGTGAGTCATCATGAGGATCGTGCGGCACTGGCCGAATACCAAGCCAGCAGTGAACATGAAAGGTATGTTATAGTAGAGTTGGACTTGGAGTGACTGGTAGTATGGAAACTGACTGAATTATCTTTTCCGCAGGGTGACGAGCACTTATTTCATTCCCTATAAGGAGGACCTGGTCCGGTTTGACTTTGAAACGGATCAGGCCGATGAGGCTCTTCTTGGATTTTGACCTGTGGAGGGAATTGGAAGTGAACGATTTTGTAACTACTGGGTATGGAAGTGAGCTATTTTGTAAATATGGAGGTGAGGCCTATGTGTACAGGTTTGGCTCCGAAGTCTGCATTGTCATAGTCCCGAAGGAAATCTCATTAAATATGTTGCGAGTAAAGAAAACGTATCAAACAGCAAGGTGTGCTTTCACATTTTGAAGTGTTTCCTCCTCTTCACCAAGAGAAACCCTTGCCAATATATGCTGATCAGGGCGCACTAGGACACCCCCACGCTCGACCAACTCATCCTCAAACACTTGGACTCCTTCCACTCCTTCAAACTCGAAGTCAACACCAAGGCTCCAGATGTTGAGATTGACACCAATGGAATCGCAGCCCTCGTTCAATATCAAAGCCTGCGAGGTTGGCTGGTCACGTCCAACAATGAGGGTCCAAGAGTCCGGGCCACAGAGATCTAAAGTGCTCCATTGACGAGACTCTACTTCTCTCTTTTCGAGTTCCCTCACATAAGAGACATCAATAGGCTCTTGCGGAAGTGCTTCATACTTGTCCGTCTTTCCCGTCGATACGGGCTGATCGAGAATCTTCACCCACGCATGGGGCAAGCGTGCTCCAGCCACAAACTTGGGCGAGTAATGTGATGCGTGTGGAGGTGGCTTGAGGGCCCCATATACATATCCAATGTGGAGCTCAAGCTGAGAGAGATGTTAGGAATTGACGACAGCCATGATTTCAATGGAGCATCACTTACATTATCGAAATGCTCGCGCTGTCCCTCAATACCCGCTTCAACGTTGGAATGCTGGATTGGATCCGCCAACGCATCTGCCATATTTTTGCGTGCCTGAGCAACATCTTCCACGCCTGCCGTTTTCAGACTCTGCAGAAGAGCGAAGATCTCTTTGCCGTTCTTGACGCTCTGTCGGGAGTACGAGTCTGCGACACCGCGTCTCTCGGATGTGTACGTCGATAATATAGAAGGGCGAGCCACTCCCCGATGTACCAGGGCGATCTTATATGCCAGGTTATGGACATCCGCAAGACCACAGTTCAGACCAAGTCCGCCAGTTGGTGGAAAGGAGTGGGCGGCATCACCGGCACTGGATGAGACATAAGCTTGAATTTCTGTTGAAACTTTATTCGACACCACTTACAGGAAGATATTTCCCTCTTGGAAGGTGTGCGCAACCTGTCTTCGGAAGACCCAAGGCCGAAAGCTGAGAATATCGAATGGAACATCTTCCTTCCCAATCGCACCGCGGATCTTGGCCCGACACAACTCCTCCGTCCATGACTCAACTGGATGCTGCTTGACATCTACTTGACTGATGTGCACCTGGGCCCCGTCGAGGTCATATCCAATAATGAAGCCTGCGGCTATTGGATCCATGATCCAGTACAACATACCGACGCGATCGCCGACAACCGGTCGCAGATTGGCGTTGAAGTGAATTGTCATCATGGTCTGATCAGAGTCTTCGCTCTCAGACTCGATGCCTAGAAGCTCGCGGACTTTGCTCTTGCGACCGTCACAGGCTATCAGATGCCGTGATTTGACCTGGTGCAAATTCCCAGTAGTTCGGTCTTCGATCGTTGCAAGGACCTCGCTGTCAGTCTGATTCAGACCTGAGATTAATCGGACTGTTCACAAAATACGGCTCGCTTGCAGTACTCACCTGGTCGACTGCATGTATACTAAACCCCTTCACCAGCAGGATATTGGGATCTTTGCTGATATGGTTCGTCAATTCCTGTTCCAGAACTGGCTGGGGAATGTTGTGTATCATCTTTCGTCTTCGATCAGCATATATTCCCAAGATGCCACATCACGTCCTATACCTCCGGTGTATGATCCAAGACGCCAGGATCCATGCGCTCGTATGGAATTCTCCCAATCAAGTCCCCAGAGAGGTGAGTGAGAAAATTGACCCAGCAGCCATCATCGCGCGAAGTTCCCAACTGGCGAATCCGCTTTTCTCCCAATCCGTATTGTCGCAAGATCTCCAAGGTGCGGGGGTTGATTGCGTGGGCCTTGGGGGCGGCCAAACGCTCAGGATACCGTTCAATGATCAACGAGCGAACTACATACGAAGTACAGTCAATATAAGGTCAAGCTTTCCGATATTTCTCGAGATACTGTACCTCCCAGTCGAGAGAGCAAAAGTGCCTGCAACAGACCCGTCGGACCTCCGCCGACAATCAGCACTGGGACAAAGCTTGGTATACTGTGTGAGTCTCCGAGCTGGTAGGACGCGAAATCTCGAGGTGCCATTGCGGTCTGAGGTTCAAATTGTCACTCTGCCTTGGTTTATTTTGACGTGTCTCGTCGAGGATGTTCGAGTCGCGTTGATTGAGCCAAGAGCAAACGCGATCAGACACGGGTTTTCCGAGCGCAAAGTACGCGAATGGCCAGAACGTGCAATCTTCGAGACTAAATTAACAGAGACTACGGAGTACTAACCAAGCCATTTAGACTAGGCTTAAGGGTGTCTCTGTTTAAGTGGGCCGGCACTAAGGGAGCCACTACTCCGTCCGCCGTACTGACATGCGACAAAGGATCCAGCAGGGGCCAAACCCTAGCGAGATCAACAAATTATATTGCCTTCAAAGCCAAGAGAAGCTCATCCAACATTCAGAAGGGTGTCGGTTTGAGCACGCACCCTCCTTATTACAACACCCTACGGAGACACTGGATAAAGTGGTTTTGATTGCCGCCCTCATTGGCTGCCACGAAGACAGGGATATATGCACGACAATGCCAAAAAGAGAAGCGGGACAAACAGACAGGCAAAAAGACAGCAATTCGCCGGATTTCCCGGCCTCGGTTTATGCTGAGCGTGAATAGGGGACTAGAATCATACTAACAGGCCCTGGTATAATAACAAGCCGATCATCGCTTGAGTTCGGTGCTTCAGTCATTCATTTGTTTTCAAATCGCATTCTTTCTCACTGGTCTCAAGGCTTCTGGCGGGTCCTGAGGAGCACGATGTCCCAATCCTCATCTCGACAACCCGAGAAGCATGGCGAAGAGAAGTTCCAAGCAGCGCCTGGCACTGAGATTCTTTTTGACAACAGCGACCATGGAAGCATTTCCGACCGACTTCATCAGCTGAAGCATCGCCCGCATGGAGATGGACACATGCTTCTCGTCCCGCAGCCGTCCATCAACGATCCGAATGATCCTCTGAGTTGGTCGACGACGAAGAAAAGTCTCACTTTGTTTAACGGCTGCTGGTTTGCCTTTATGGGGGCAATTACCGGGCCCATCATGGCAGCAGGTATGTCTGCAAGCTATTTTTAAGTATTCATTCTGACGGGCACAGGCATGACCCAGCTGTCTGTCACCTTCGGCAAAAGTCTCCAGGAACTGACATATGCGAACGGTGCTTGTCTGATCAACCAGGGTGTGTGGAATCTGGTATGGATGCCATTCGCCGTGAAGTATGGCCGCAGGCCGGTCTACCTGTTCTCCAATATCCTCATGGCTATCGCGTGTATTTGGCTGGCCGTCGCGTCTGACAAAACCTACACTGTATTCTTGGTCGGGCGCGCTTTTCTAGGGGCCTTCCAGGCCCCAATCGAGTCGATTGTTCCCTCCACAGTCACCGACATGTTTTTCCTGCATAACCGTGGCGAGCTCGTGGCTATCTACGGTCTTGCTGTGCTGGGTGGTAATGAGCTGGGACCTATGTTCTCGGGATTCATCGTGCAAGCACTGGGAATGGGCTGGGCGTTCTGGATCGTGACCATGTTCGTGGGTGCGAACATCATCTGCATGTTTTTCTGGATGCCAGAAACCAAGTTCACTGGTCCTCGCCCTGACCCGTTCCAGTCAAGTCAGGCAGGCGAAGACTCAGACTCGAAAGAACCAGTTCTGATCCATGAATCAAGCCCTGTGCCCAAGAAGACATTGACTGAAGAGCTCAAGTTTTGGAGCAGCGGTGACCCGAATGTCAATCTTCTCCATGTCTTCCTTCGTCCATTCGTTCTACTAGCATATCCCACTGTGCTGTGGTCGTGCTTTATTTACGGAATGGCTCTGAGTTGGAACGTCATCCTCGGTGCCTCGGTGGCCCAGCTCTTTGCACCACCGCCATATGGATTCAATTCCAACGGACAGGGTCTGTTCTTCCTATCGCCGTTCGTTGGGTCTCTTTTCGGTGTCTTCTTCTCTGGGCCGGTCAGTGATTGGATCGCCACATTCTTCACGAAGCGCAACAACGGTGTCCGTGAGCCGGAGATGCGACTGCCGACTTGTCTGCTGGCGGCCTTTTTCACTTTCTTCGGAGCACTGTGGTTCGGACTCTCGTATGAGCATCAAATGCATTGGGCAATGCCCATTGTGGGCGCAGGCATACTGTCGGTAGGAAGTCAAATGGGCACTACCCTTGGAATGAACTACGCCCTGGATTGTCATAAAGAGGTATGGACCCCCTTTCTTTTCTTGACGCACGAGTACTAATGTTCTTCTTTTTGCCGCAGCTTTCTGTCGAGATTATGGTTACCATTGCCGCCTTGAAAAGCTGCATTGCGTGGATTTGGACTTGGGTCATCAATGACTTTATCACTGCCAGCGGAGTGCTCAGTGTGTTTATGACTGTCGCGGCAATCAATGTGGCTGTTTATCTGGCCTATATTCCCTTCTATCTCAAGGGGAAGGACATCCGGATTTGGCTGCACCGGAAGGATTTGCTTCGGGCCGCTGGTCTCTAGCTGACTATTGTCGGGGACCTGTGTTCTTAGGAATTAAAAAGGTCTTTGACCTTGACTACGAGCTTGAATCCCACAACAACCAGTCAATATGACATTTACTAGTGCGGTTTCAATTCTGTGGATTAGTTTTCCGTAGCTGAATAGAACTTAACCCAAAGGATGCGCCTTCGCTGTAATTGCAGGGCCATGTATATTAATCACAGAGATGCCAGTACTGTCTATAGTAGTGTACCACATCTTTAAGAGACCACGGAGTAGCATTCCAGACAATTAATTGTGTTTAATCTATATTCCGTGCACTAGTTCTAGTGTGAGCTAGGATCATAAGTTCCTAGTCCCTTCGCCGTCCGCTAGTGGGGGCTACTAACTCGGCGAGAGAGCGCTAATCAACGGGCCGTGCATTTAGATTGTCGACGCCGTGGCTACAATAACATAGTCTTGTGAAACATGGCTGGGATGTATGCAAGTTCATTTAAGCTAATTGAATCCACATGCATGATTTTCATTCACGGCAGCCTTGAAGGTCCAAAGCAAAGTACTCTGTACTCCGTACCAGTAAGTGCTATACATGGGGGAAATTCATCTCGTGCCCAGGTGCGCAAGACCACATGCCGATCGCAGTTCTTTGCACTCAATACGCCTAAGATCCACAAATCGATCGTCGCACCTCGGGGCTCTCCAGATGGACCCGAATCATTCGTTTCAGCCATTCGCATCCACATTCGGACAGCCGCTTACACCCTTGTTCGTTGACTCTTGGCGCCTGCAGCACTATACTCGATGTTGAGTCAACGCCGACTAGATCCCAAGCGTGAGTAGGCTTCATTTAGAATGCCATTTGCATTATCCGATTTTGATTAACTGTGTAGATTATCCAGCAATTATACTAGTGCGCGAGGTGCCAATTTCAACATATTGTGTCCATCCCTGTCACACCTGCAACGCTGGGCCCCCGAGCAGGATTTTTCTGTTTGCCAAACGCCAATGAGAGGCCCACCACCGCCATATCCATGCTGGAGGAAGCAAGCTGCATATTATCGCGACAAGGATTGGTTCGAGAACATTGAGAGATTTTTCTTTTTTTTTTTTTTCGGGGTCAGCTTCGGGAGAAGAAGTCATTACCTTTAATCACTATGGACACGACTTTCTTCTGAAAAGCAATCTTACTGGCTGGATATTCCCAGTTAGGCTGATGGTATGAGGTCTTCCACGAGGCAAACAAGGGATGACCCTTACCGGGAGGTTTGCCCGAGCCTGCGGAGTGGAAAAGTCCCATCGATTATGCGTTGGCGGATATAATGTTAATTTCCAGCTTCTTACCTGGTCATTTGTACTTTCTCTCATATTGTGCATATTGAGCTTGTGTGGGGAGACACTCCCTGGTAGCCAGAGATGGCTGGCAATAATGCTGCCCTCATTCTCGCCGTCTCATGGGTCGAAACTTGCGTTGGGCTGTTATTCTTCACACTTCGGTTTGTGAGCAACTTGAAGTTTATGGGGCGGTTTCGATGGGATTTCGCCATTGCGGGCTTGACAGTGGTAGGAGGACATCGCTGTCGAAAGCGCCTAGGATCTGCAGGCTCATGCTCACGTTAAACAGGTGACTGAGACCACAGCTCAGGTCTTCTTGCAGCTCTCGGTCAATGCTGGCATGGGCCAGCATATGGACACTCTGTCCGACAGGAGTATCGTTTTGGCTCTGAAATGGTCATGGGTATTCCAGCTGCTTGCAATCGCCGCGAGTATGCTGGGGAAATTGGCGATTCTTGCATTTCTAGTACAGATTCGCGGTCGTCACGAGAAGAAGCCCTGGCTTTTGATTGTTTTGGGGGTGCTCATCGGAGCAGTCAACATCACCGTTCTTGGAACGATCCTCGGTCAATGCCAGCCGATGCAAAAGCTGTGGGATGACTCCATAGAAGGGACTTGTGACCCAGGGCGCAAGATCAACCAGAACTACTCGTTCTTCCAGGCTAGTGAGTCAATGTCCTTGGGAGACGACATATCACCGCAACCCTTTGCTAACGTTCCAGGCTTCAATTCATTTTCTGATGCGATGTTGGCGATTTACCCTGTTCATCTTTTTTGGAAACTGCAGATGAAGTTGCGCATCAAAATCGCGCTGTCAGTACTAATGGGATTGGGTTGGATGTAAGCACTGCCAGGCGAGGTCTTGATATTCCCCAGATGAAGCTAACAGGAGACCAATTCCAGAGCTGCAGTCTGTTCCGCCGTCAAGACATATGAGCTCAAAGCACTGACTGAAACAACCGATATTACTTGTATGACCAGAGCGCTGCCATGCAGTGGATTGTCGCTAACAGTCCAATCTTTAGGGGCCCAATCTTCACTCGTCATCTGGGCATCTACGGAAGCATGGATTGTCATCGTCGTGGGCTGCATACCTCCTATCCGGCCTCTGATGGACCGAATCCTCCAACACTTCGGCCTGACCTCCAAAAAGACCCCAACGCCCTACCGATACCGCAATACGAGTGGATATGCAGCCTATGAGACGAATAAATCAAACCCGGCCAGTCATTCCAACTTCCAATCCAGTGCTTACCGGGGAAGGACACTTGATGACGACGACGACCCAGCATGGATGGAACTCACAGCGACCGAGGGACCGAATGGAAGTAAAGAGCATATTGTTACAGGGTCAAAAGAGGTCGTCATTACTACCGACATTGAGACTCGGTTCGAGGATGTGGACCACGTTGGGCCGTCTCAGGGGATCATCAAGCGATGAGACGATTCTGAATTTAGTACGCAAGATTTATATAGCTTGAGATGTAGTACTGTCCTGCTATACATTGATAATTGTACTGTTTCACGCAAGTACGATGATCACAGCAAAAGTGATGCTTCGTAATGAACGCAGCAAGTCCCATGAAGCTCTATTTTCCTGCCATTGCCAGCTTCTTCATAGCTTCAGCCTTCTCGCCCAACACCTTCCGCACATCCTCTCTTTCTCTCATTCTTCCTAGCCAAGCGGCAACAACAGGGAAGTCCTTTTCAATGTCTCCCACCTGCTCGCCGAAAAACTGAGGCAACAGATCCTGCCAGGGAACGAAGCACAAGTCCGCATAGGTGCACTTATCACCGACAAGCCAGTCGCGACCCTCGAGGGCCTTCTCCAGAACACCAGTCACTCGCTTGATTTCATTGACGTAGCGGGTGATCGCGACTGGCTCAGGTGTAGGCTGGCGCTTGAACCAGGACAGCTGGCCATAGTAGGGGCCTTGGCCAGACACCTGGAAGTGCAGCCATTGCGAGGTCAGATACTTCTCGGGCTTAGTATCGTAGCTCAGCTTGTGCGAGATATCGTAGGTGTCGATGAGGTATTCGACGATGGCGCCAGATTCCCACAGGGTGATGTTGTGGTTTGGGTCCACGATAGCTGGCAGACGGCCGTTCGGGTTGATATCGGTGTAAGGGGGCAGCTTGACATCTTCGAAGCTGACGAAAATAGTCTTGTACTCGAGTCCCAGAGCCTCAAATATGATGGCAACTTTCCAGGGATTCGGGCCGATTTCGTGGGAGTACAGAGTGATGGGCTGCATGATGATTTGCGGAGATATTTGATTTGGAGACGTGATCCTCGTAACAGGTCCTGTATAGATGTATTTATATCCTGCAGAAGATAGTGTTGATCTACCGACGATGCAATGCCGAGTTCGCCGACGCCATCTGTGCTCGCCGTCTGGATTTCAAAAGCCGAATCAATCACCGAAGATCCAGGCTGAGCTTCGACTGCGATGAGATTGGAATTTCGAGCCTCTGCCTTTGATGCTTCTGACATCACCCTTTCAATCACCGAACAAGGGCTAGATTAGCAATTCATCCGCTTGCTGAGGGGGTGTCGCGATGGAGCCGATGCCGGGCGCAGAACGAGGCATCGCAACAGCGGGTCTCAGAGCGTCTTGGGCTTTGTAAGCTCAGGGGTATGCACTGATCTGAAAGGGTACGAAGGAAAGGAGGGTATGCACTGATGTAAAAGGATACGAAGGAAAAGAGAGATCTTTCAAGCTTTGGGATCTTCAGCTTATGCACATGAAAACAAGCTTCTCACACAAGCTTCATCCTTCATCCTTCATCCTTCAGCCTTCTTGGTTCAGCCCTCACCCTTCATCGGCCCTGACACTCCAATCAGATCATGTTAAGCCCCATATCCCCAGACTTACCTCAATGCCTGATGGCTCACTCTATCCGCTGATATTGAACAGTGACCATATGGGCAAAGTCTGGGTTCAAAAGACAACTGCCAAGGCAAAGCCTTCGATGCCCGAGATTTGGACAAGTCTTTGTCGAGATTATATCTGTCGATTGAGATGACGAATATGGCTCTTTTGGTCACACAAGTCCTAGTCACTTATATCACTCACCAAATCGTCACTTCGGCGACTGCAAGGTTGCATCCGACTTGACATGCAAGGGGACTGCCACTCCCCCGCGACAATCAGGGAACTTTCAAGAGGTCCTCCTTCATGGCCCAGCACTCGGTCCCCTGCATATCTTCGGCGAATTCGTGGGTCATGCACACCATACACACTATGTGAGCAGGGAATGCAGTCACCTCGCACGTTCTTACGACGACGCATAAATATTCGCCCTCCCGAGATGTGCTCATCAAGGACCAGCAAGCGATTCTCATCGAGCCGAAAGATCAGATCAAAGCACAAGACTCCCAAATCCCTCAGCCTGCGAATAGCAATACCAACCCTTGAAACTCTGCTATCAAGCATCTCTTAGGGTGGTGCAAGATCTGAAGACAACTCTCATCGCAACAGCAAAGCACCATGAGGGACCCCTACTTTGATCTTGGACCATGCCGTTTTACCGTGACAACCAGCTCCCCAGATTGTCAAGCCTGGTTTGATCGCGGGTACATGTGGACACAGGGCTTCAATCATGATGAAGCAGCCCGTTGTTTTGAGAAAGCCATTTCTTTCGACGAGAACTGCGCAATGGCATACTGGGGGCTTTGCTATGCAAAGGGACCCAACTACAATAAGACCTGGATACGATTCGATGCTGTCGATCTAGAGAAGACCATCCGTGACGTGAAGCAATTCTTGCAAAAAGCAATGGAACTCGCCCAAATCGTCAGTGCATCGGAGGCAGCCTTGATCCATGGCTTACAGTATCGATTCCCACATGAGTCCGCTGGGTGTGATTTCGGTTCATTGGATCGAAGCTATGCCGACGCCATGTGCAATGTCTACGAAATGTATCCTTCGGATGTCGATCTGGCTGCTCTTTGCGCGGAAGCATTGATGTGTATCAGCCCTCGAGCCTTGTGGGATATTGGTAGTGGCAAACCCAGTGGCCCCCATACCGAGCGAGCGCGTGAGATCATCGAACGTGCTATGGGATTGCCTGGTGGAAAAGATCATTCTGCATTGTGCCACCTCTACATCCACCTCATGGAGATGTCGCCATATCCGGAGATTGCTCTGCCGGCTGCTAATCGGTTGCGCTTGTTAGCCAGGGATGCATCTCATCTGCAGCATATGCCAACGCATATTGACATTGCTTGTGGTGATTATAGTAGGGCAATTGAATCAAATCATCAGGCTACACTTGCCGATGACAAGTTCTTTGCTCGTGCGCAGGCATCTCCTCTTTACAACATGTATCGTGCGCATAATATCTATGTGAAGATGTATAGTGCAGTGATATCTGGTCGTTTCCAGGACGCCTACTCCTCAGCCACAAGGTTACCTGAGATCTTGACGCCAGAACTTCTGGCGACATCTAGCCCCCCAATAGCAGATTGGACAGAGAGCTACCTTGGGGCAATTGTGCACGTTCTGGTCCGCTTTGGAAAATGGCATGATATCCTCCACAATCTACCTATCCCCGCGGATAGGAAAACCTACTGCTCCACGACAGCCATGATCTACTACGGCCGCGGTATTGCCTTGGCAGTACTTGGTCGAGTCGAAGAAGCCAAAATGGAGCAAAGTCATTTCGAAGCCGCCAGGACTCTTGTCCCAAGGTCTCGTCTCAACAGCTTGCCAGCAGTGGAAGCCGATGTGCTTCAAGTGGCATCCGCCATGCTCCGCGGTGAAATCCAGTACCGAGAAGGCGATCACGAGTGTGCGTTTCGCACTTTGCGAGAAGCCACTGCTTTGGAAGATGGACTACCATACGCAGACCCACCACCTTGGATGCAGCCAACTCGTCATGTATTGGGCGCTTTACTTCTGGAGCAAGGAAGGATTGAAGAAGCAGAGCTTGTCTACCGGGAAGATCTGGGCATGAGCAGTACCTTACCCCGACGCCTGGCAAGGTTGAATAATGTCTGGGGTCTACATGGTCTTCACGAATGTCTTGAGCGTGCAGGGAAGCATGAAATCGTGCAGACTATTCGAGTTCAAAGGGACATTGCCTTGGCTTTGGCAGATACCAAGATTGTCGCTTCCTGCCTTTGTCGCCTTTCGGCTGTCGAGGATGGCGCCTTGGGAGAGAAATCTCACTGCCGGTCGAAATGTTGCTGATTCAAGAATACCTAGGTAACTACACGTTCGGTTGTGCTAGGTACAAGCTTCACTATTTCCTGTTGACAAAGATATAGATATATATGCTGATTGTCAGGGGCTCCAAATTCAACCTTGAAGTCAGATTCGGATTTCCTTTTAAAAATAGCGTGAACCGAAAGGCTTCCAGTCTTCACTTATTGTTGACTCATCTTTTATAAGACATATTAACGAAATATCCCAATCATAGCATCCCCATCTGCCAAGAATTCAAATGTTCGGCTCGGACTTCTCAAGGTCGCCGAACAAGTGGACCATGAACCTCGTGTCGATGAAACCCCCGGTGAGACTTTTCGTAAATAATTATTTCCAAGGTTTTGTCGATCGGACCACCTGTTCTTTGAGGTCTACCTAGGTATGGTGCTGCTTGTGTCGAGGACACTACTCTGGGCATCCGAATCTGCTCGCGTATAGTCCCGAACACTCAGGGTTGTATGTTGTGCCAGTGGGCTATATTCAAAGTTTGTAGATTTCAAACTGAATTTACGGCTTTATGGCCGATTGGGAGTGACAAGTGTCTCATATGAGATCCATTTCGCTAAGTGAGTTGATCTAGCTGCCTCGTGGTTCTATCTTATACAGTAATTGCATATGCTACCCCGGGCCACTGAATAACTAGCGGACTTCCAAGTTGGTGGCCGATGAAGGGAAGATAATGATCAAAATTGAAACTAAGCATTCTCCACAAACTCTTCAGCTTCCCTCTTCGCAATTGTGATGTCGCCAGGAGTCCGACAAACATGAGACTGGAAAGCTCGTGCGGGCACTTTGTCCAAGAACATCTCGTCGATCTGCTCCAGTGATCGGTTCTTCACCTCCGGCACGTAAAACCAAGCAAAGAGGAACGAAAGAACAGACAGTGCTCCGTATATGAATGCAACGCGGCCACCAATGTCAGCTTGGGTGAAAGGGTTCACAAACACGATGATCAACCCAGTGATGTAGGCGCCCATTCCAGATAGAGCGACCGACTTTTCTCGCATTTGGATAGGTGGTATTTCAGATGAAAGCACCCAGGCGATGGGTCCCCAAGTGTACTGGAAAGTAAAGAACCATAACATGAGCATCACCACCGCTGCAACCTGCATCTGGTAGGACATGTGCTCGGCGCCGTTGGCTGTCAAACCGCCGATGGTGATCATAAAAGCCCCCATCGAGGCAGCAGAGTAGATCAACACGTTACGTCGACCCAGACGGTCGGCAGTGGCCATGAAGATGAGGTTTGCAGCGATACCGATGACGAAGACCAAAACTGACATCAGGAGGACCTCCTTGAATCCAATCTCCTGGAGGAAGACGGCTTGATAGTTGGCAACGAATGAGATTCCCTGTGCTTGGGAGAAGATCTGAGATCCCACGGCGATGATAGTACGCCGGCGGTTGACAGAGTCTGTGACGCAGGCAGACCATGTCGCAGTCGCCCGTCGTTCCCGTTGCTCCTCCAACAGCTGTTGCATGTTGGCCACCTCAGCCTCTGCTGGAAATGAGACACCTCTCAGTCGACGAAGCGAAACGACCGCTTCATCTAGCCTTCCGCGAGAGACAAGCCAGTACGGGGACTCGGGGAGGAACGGCAGACTGGTCCAGCTGGCTGCAGGAATGGCAATCTGGGCAACAACAACCACTCGCCAAGACCAGTTACTCGGGATATGTTGACACAGGTAGACAATGAGTGTGGCGAAGAAGCCACCCACCATGAGGAAGGCATTGTAGGTTCCTGCCATCAAACCACGCATGGATTTCGGGGCACATTCTCCTTGGTATGCGGGGATCACACTGGTTGCCATTCCTCCACCGAGATAGACCAGGAGTTTTCCGACCAGGAATTGGGCGTAGCTTTTCTCCGCCGTCGACTCGATGATGATACCAATTGTCACTATGAAACTTTGAATCCACAGGGTATTCTTTCTTCCCATGCGTTCGTTGACCGGTGAGCCTCCGAAGACGCCCACAATGACACCCACGTACCCCAGACCGGTTCCCAGGGATTGTTGATTGGAAGTCAGAGCCCATGTGTCCGTGACCGGATCGAGGTGTCCGTAGTTGCTAACGAATTGAGTCGAGCTCATCAGGGCAGACCACCATCCTTGATCGAATCCAAATCCGGCGGACGAGATGGACCCAAAGATGACCACAACCCAGATCAGCCATGGCAGGCCACGGATAGAATCACTCGGCTCTTGAGTCATGTTGAGTGACAGAGAAACGAAACCGTCAAAAGTTGATAGAGACACACGTTGCCTGAAACGTGGACCCTTGCTTCTTATGGCACTGACAGCTTCTTATGGCACTGACAGCTTCTTATGGCGATATATCGATCCCGCCTCAGCATTCCCTTTTCATCCTTTCATCTTTGACCCCTCGTTTTTTCTTGGTTTCACAGGATCTGATCCACTGCAATGAGGCTAGTGGTGGATAGCGGAGCCCGGCTGTCGGGGGGCCAAAATGAGGGATGAACATATCCAGATCCTTCTCATTGGGTCAAAGGCGAGGAATGCCCTGTACCCCGAGATAAGATTTGATAGACACTCGTAGGCGACCTCGGGAGGAGACCCGAGGCCAGTGAGATGCCCTTTTAGCCGAACGCCACCCGATTCTTCTCTGGAGGTTGTATTTTGCGAGACTAGTCATGTCAGGAACCTGCAAATGTGTAGTCGAACCCATGGCGGGGCCCCGCGATTGTCGGTATTTCATTGGGGAAGCTGGAGAATGACTGGGGATCACAGACAAATGTGAGTTCAGAGGCAAAGGACAATGCTCCGCTTCTTCGGCGAGCGGCCGCTGCATCGGGATGTCGTCTCCACTAAGTCGCCGACACTGCAGCTTCTGCTGCGAAGGGTCTCTTATCGCAGCTATGGCTGGGTTGGAGGTAAAAGGTCAAAGTCCCTTGCTCGGGGATTCTTGTCACATAGTTTTCTCTGTTGAAACCAAATCAACATGGCTTCAGATGCTGTCAGCCCCGTTGTGGACCAGCTCCTCCGGATGCTGACTCTCGAAGAGAAGGTGTCATTGGTGGCCGGCAAGAACATGTGGCAGACACAAGACATTGCACGATTGGGCATTCAGTCTCTGCAAACCACCGATGGCCCCGCGGGGGCTCGCGGCACGAAATGGAACTACGGGTCCCTGACGACCCTGATTCCCTGTGCGATCTCACTAGCAGCCACCTTTGACCCGGCATTGGTCGAGAAGGTCGGCAACGTGCTGGGTGAAGAAACAAGACGCAAGGGCTGCCATGTCCTGTTGGCCCCAACAATGAACTTCTCCCGCTCACCACTGGGGGGTCGCAATTTCGAAAGCTTCGGAGAGGATCCTTTCCTCATCGGCACTATCTCTACGTCCATCATCCGTGGGATTCAAAGCAAAGGAGTGGGTGCGTGCATGAAGCATTTCATCCTCAATGATACAGAGACCCGTCGCTTCAATGTCGATCAATATATCGACGAGCGCACCCTGCGGGAGGTCTACATGAAGCCTTTCGCTATGGTCCTCGAGGCCTCACCATGGACGGCAATGGTCAGCTACCCGAAAGTCAACGGCATCCACGCCGATATGAGCTCTTTCGTTCTTCAAAAGCTTCTACGTGAAGAGCTGCAGTTCGACAGACTCGTCATGAGTGACTGGGGTGGCTGCAACAGCACCGTGGAAAGTATCATTGCGGGCACAGATCTCGAGATGCCAGGCCCACCAGTTCGACGGGGTCAGCTTTTGCTTTCTGCCATCCGAGATGGAAAAGTGGACGAAAAGAAGCACCTGGATGTCAGTGTGCGACGCGTTCTGCAGCTCCTAGAACGTGCATCTCTTCTTCCATCGTTGGAAGGATTGAAGAGTGCGACTAAAATTCCAGAGCAGCCTGATTCAGTCGAAGGGCCCTCGCCGGATTATGACGCCTTCCATCAACTGGTGCGCGAGGCTGCGGAGGGCGGCCTAGTGCTGTTGAAAAACGAAAATCTGCTGCCCCTCAAGCCTTCTGCGCTGAAGAAAGTTGCTATTCTAGGCCCCAACGCCCACAAACCAACAGCCGGTGGCTCTGGTAGTGCGGCTGTGAATCCATTCTACATCACGACGCCACGAGAGTGCCTGACAAAAGCACTCGAAGTCGCTCATCCGGAGGCTCAGGTCACATATGAGCAGGGTGTCCCTTTCACCTTACGACCACCACTTTTTGGCAGTGCGCTTCGTCTGCCTGATCTATCTAAACAAGGAGTGCAAGTGGACTTTTACGCAGGTCATGAGTTTGAAGGTGATGTCGTCGCTACCACCTTCTGGGTCGACTCCATGCTCTATATGATGAGTGATGGGGATGTGCCCGCATCACTTCTAGGAAATCCATACTGCTACAGAGTGACTGGAGTTGTCACTCCCGAGATATCCGGTCAATATACAATCAGTGTCGCAAACACAGGCAAGGCCAAGCTCTTCATTGATGGTGTGCTCGTGATTGACAACACTGAATGGACCACTATAACCGGGGGCTTCCTCGGCTGCTCCAGCGAAGATAAGACGATTTCCATACGTCTAGAAGCAGGGCGTTCATACAGGCTACAGGTAGACAACGTTGTCACCTTGCCGCTTGTCGAGGCCTTCGACAACACCATCTTCCCTCGAGTATCTGGTCTTCGACTGGGTCTTGCCCTCAATGAAGACGAGGACGCTATGCTGAATCGCGCTGTTGAGGCTGCTCGCGACTCCGACGTCGCCATTCTCGTCGTCGGTCACAACAAGGACTCCGAAGGCGAAGGTGGCGATCGACCAGACATGGAATTGCCGGGTCGTACCAACGAGCTCATTGCTTCCATTTGTGCCGCCAATCCCTCCACAATTGTCGTCGTCCAGGCAGCTAGTGCAACCACCATGCCGTGGGCAGACAAGGCCGGGGCTATCGTTTTGGGCTGGTATCAAGGCCAGGAGAACGGGAACGCCTTGGCCAACGCACTATTGGGCCACTGCAACTTCTCTGGCAAGACTCCAATTACATTCCCCAAGACACTTGCCGATCACGGCTCAAGCGAGTGGTTCCCCGCTCAGGCGGCACAATATCTCGCCGTCTTTGGCGAAGGTGTTTTGATGGGGTATCGATCATTCGATGAGCGTAAAATCGAGCCCATGTGGCCATTTGGCTTTGGTCTGTCTTACACCACCTTCGCATTGAGCAATATACATGCTAGTGGTGAGATGCATGCTTCATCTGCCTCCAACATTGTCATTCATGCGACCGTCAGTAATACAGGGCATTGTGGTGGACATGAAGTCGTCCAGGTTTATGCATCGCCATCTGATCGTATCCGTGAAAGTGGCCTGCCCAGTTTCCCCAAAACGCTGGTGGCATTCCGCAAAGTGTGGGTCCCTGCTGGAGGGTCTGAAGATGTACGCATTGTCGTCAAGAACGAGGAGCTGCGGTGGTATGACCAGGAGGCTGGATCGTGGCGTCTTGACGCGGGCACTTACACTTGTTTCGTCGGTACTAGTGTGCGAGACATCCAGAGTGAGTTGAAGATCAAGGTTCTTTAGATACTGAATAGGAAGAATGGAACCTTGAAAGGGATTTGCTATCTCGTATTATGTCAATAGTTCTAGTTTGTGCCTGTAGACACTTCAAGACATATAATGCGTTTTCCGTAGATTCGATGTTTTGCCTTCTCTTCGAATTGAATTGAACCTTGGAAAATAGGGCCATACCTGTTCTCAGGGTCATGCTCTGAGGCATCCTTTGGGCAGCGATTGGCACTTGCGTCTACTGGGACCAGAGCTTGTCGAGGTGTCTCGTTTCACCTTTTACCGTGTCTTGTTCAATGTGATTGTTCGGCCTCGAGCTCTTCCACTTTCGCCCATGCCCGAGTCAAAACCATTCAATTGCTACTAGGTAGAGTCGAACTATTCCCGTGGCAAATAGAAATTATTCAGACCTCGGAATCCTCGACCTCGGACCCGCTTGCAAATCGTAACCGGAATCGCCACTGAGAACCGCGGGGAGATCGACGGTGACATCTGCCATACTTCCGTTGCCAAGGCCAATCCAACAGAGCATGTCCTCGTCTTCAACTTGGACATGCATACTAGTACAAGGTAATCTGCTTTCATGGGATCTATGAATCTATCATTTTTGTTTTATTCCTCAATTCACCGAATACCTGAGCCATATGAAATACCTCTAGAATATTTCTTCAGCTGCTCACTTTCATGTATTTTACACAGTGCCATATATTCTAGCATTTCAATTATTCCTAAATTCACCATATACCTAAGCTAGACCATTGTAACACTGTCAAGCAAAGAAGAACAGGCCGAGCGGTATCCTCGGTGTAAGCGGCCCCACTTTGTGCTCCCCGCGAATCCCCAGCGCCGCCGGTAACCGAGGCTCAGCTTGTGATTAAGACCGTCGATTCCCTCGCTCTCTCCTCTACAACCCACCACTATTCACCATGGCATCCATTATTCGCTCACTACGACCTTTGTCGCGTACTCCAGTCCGCCTGGCGGGCAGACGACTAGCTCCCAGCCGCCCTATCCAGAGGTACCGACACTTCGCAATGACACGTGAATGTCGAGAACAATAGCTAATCCCATGATCCTCTAGTGCCTATGCCTTCTCGACCACCCCGCGTCGACGGGACGACTCCGAGCTCACGCCCACCCCGATCACCCACTTGTCCGACACCGAAGCCATGATGTCCGAGATGGTCTCGAAATTCGCGCAGGAGCAAATCGGCCCCAAGGTGCGCGATATGGACGAGGCCGAGACCATGGATACCAAGATCGTCGAACAACTTTTCGAGCAGGGAATCATGGGCATCGAGGTGCCGGAGGAGTTTGGCGGGGCGGGCATGAACTTCACCGCGGCCATTGTCGCCATTGAGGAGCTGGCCCGCGTCGACCCCAGTGTGAGTGTGCTGGCGGATGTGCACAACACCCTGGTCAACACGGCGATAATGAAGTACGGTGACGCGCAGGCCCACCGCACGTGGCTCCCCAAGCTCACCACCGGCACGGTCGGCTCCTTCTGTCTGTCCGAGCCGGCGTCCGGCTCGGATGCCTTTGCCCTCCAGACCAAGGCGGAGAAGACCGCCGACGGATACAAGATCAATGGATCGAAGATGTGGATCACCAACTCGATGGAGGCCGGCATCTTCATCGTGTTCGCCAACATCGACCCCAGCAAGGGCTACAAGGGCATCACGGCCTTCATTGTGGAGAAGGATACCCCTGGCTTCTCGATCGCGAAGAAGGAGAAGAAGCTTGGCATTCGCGCCAGCAGCACGTGTGTGCTGAACTTTGACGACTGCGTCATCCCCAAGAGCAACTTGCTCGGCGAGGAGGGCCAAGGCTACAAGTACGCGATCAGTGTCCTGAACGAGGGCCGTATTGGTATTGCTGCCCAGATGACCGGTCTGGCTCTTGGCGCTTGGGAGAACGCTGCCCGGTAGGTCACACCCAAAGTATCAACCAAACTCGATTCGCTAACGGCCACAGATACGTGTGGAACGACCGTCGCCAGTTCGGCGAGCTCATTGGTAACTTCCAGGGCATGCAGCACCAGATTGCGCAGGCGTATACCGAGATCGCAGCCGCCCGCGCTTTGGTGTACAATGCCGCCCGCAAGAAGGAGGCTGGCCAGGACTTTGTGCAAGACGCTGCCATGGCCAAGCTTTACGCCTCCCAGGTGGCCGGCCGTGTCTCCAGCTCTGCGGTTGAGTGGATGGGTGGCATGGGCTTTGTCCGGGAGGGCATCGCCGAGAAGATGTTCCGCGACAGCAAGATCGGTGCGATCTACGAGGGAACCAGCAACATCCAGCTGACGACTATCGCCAAGCTTCTCCAGAAGCAATACACACAATAGATTCGGCGTTTGAATATTTAGCCAAGCTTATAAATTGTTTTCACGCGCCATGGCGGGCATTTCTTTTTGGCGGTGAATCTATGGTCCAAGACACGCAGGGCATGCCTTGATCATGCCTTGAGCCGGGGCGCATCCCGCGCCGGGCTTGCGAGTGTATATAAAGATAGGATCAGCGGGGAATATGCCAGCTGCCAATTGAATCGACACATGTCACCAGAGAACCCGTACGGAGTGCAATTGAGTGCCGATCTCGAGTCGGGCCTCGGGACTGGCAAGATCTGACGGGACAGTAGATCAAGAGTGGGACCGAAACCTGTCCTACAGGGTGGTCGATTCGACACGGAGATCATTTCCGTATACCTAGGTAATCTCTGCCGCAATCGTCCCGTGGACTCAGGACGTTGAGAGATGTCCAAGATCCCCCAATGCCAAAGAATGGCGTCTATATGAGCACGAGGTTCCATCGTGCGAGACCTGATTGAAGGGTCACGGTTGCTGCATGCACGCCTATGCATACCGTGCCTGGATTCATCTCGGCCTGAGATTCAAGGCTGAGACCGTTCAATTATAATCGTACGTCTCCTCTTGCGGTGGTTGTGGCATCTGCGGAGGGTATGAGGCTATGGGTTGATAGACTTCCGAAGTCTGAGACGCAGAGCTGGCATTCGGCATGGAGAGCGACCGGCTTCCATATGGGAATTGGGAGAAGGAATCAAACTGCGGTGTTGATTCAGGAGCGCCGAAGCTGATGTGAGGACCTGACGGCATGGGAGGACAGATGCGTTGCCCTTGCAGTTGGCCATCTATCACGTATGAATCCATGCGACTGGGATATTCTGGATTGGACGATGCGCCCAGGGACGGGGAGCGGGTGGAGGGGTATTGTTGCCATTCATGCTGGTGGGAGGCTCGACTCGATGCTGACAGGGCCGAAGGAGTGCGAGGATTCGAAGATGGGGTATAATTTGGAGACAGTAAGGTCCCTGTTGTTGGGACATCGGAAGCGCTCTGGGTACCTTCAATCGACCACCCACTGCGGAACAGACCCATCTGCTCATTATCTGCTACATATTCCGGTCGCCCCGTGAGAGAAGCTATCTGTTGCTTCAGGCGACTCATCTCATCTTCCAGCATGGCATTCCTTTGGATCACTTCATCGAACCGCTCCGTGCGGAGCCGCATATCCTCGATCTGCGACTGGAAGGTGGTCACTTGAGCCTCAAGTTGTTCTATGTGTTCTTTCGTGCGTTGGCGAATCAACCGTTGAGCCTCTCGGTCGTTGGCCCGCTTTCGCTCGAGCTGTTCCGTGGACAGTGTTGATACCTTCCTCGTCCCCGAGCGTGATTCCCGCCTTTTCGGCGGCTCTTGGGAGCTCATCGCTACCGTTCTGGTAGTGGAGACTCGCCCGATGCGCTCTGGCGACACTATCCTCCCCGAGGCGATCTTCTTGCACGTGAGACCCTTCGTGGACGACCATGCAACCAGCAACACCTGGAGACGGGTTCACATGGAGGGGAAATGGTAGATCGATGATTTGCAAGCGAAAGTGGGCTCGACTATCTCAAGCCGAGCAGGGATTAAGGCAACAGGCAGCCGTGCGAATCCAAGGCTACGTTAGCCTGGGGAATGAGTGGACTCTGTGGGAAATCGTTCTGAACGAGAATATGGGCCAGGGTATGTCGTCTCCGGATCGCCAGGCCAATCTCCCGATGATGCGGCGAAAAAAGACGCTTTGAATGGGAATCACAACGGGCCAATGATCGTCGGTCAATAGACGAACCGTGTGGGTAGGGACAAGCTATGGCTATAGCGTCTTTCGTCCAGCCACTACGGTGGACGGCCCCCATAGCGAGGTCCGCTTTTTTATTTGGATTTATGCGAGCACACCAGCAGTGCCGAGCAATGTGACACTGGCACCTTAACGCTTTCTAGAAAATGCCTGATCTGATTTGACCTGCCCGGGCTGGGAGTTGTGCCTGCTCATATGTTGGGCTCCGTCGCGCATCCAGGCGTTGACCCCATCGCGGTGGGGTCCCGAAAAGCACTAATCCGACAGCCTCGCGGCTTGGTTTCCCAAATCCCCCAACGCCATCATCTCAATTATCGTCCGGCTTGGCCCCGGGGAATCAAAGGGGGCGGACTGGAAGAGCCCGGCCCCCGGATTATGAATCTCGTCCCCGAGACGAGCACCAGATGGGGACTGGAACAAAAGTCCCTCGTGTACGAGTAGCCGAGCGGTACGGAGTCCAGCATGTGGCCTCTGTGTCCATCACAGCTGCAGTGGATCAAATTGCTTTTGGCGCATCAGATCGAGCAGATCGAACGATCCCCTCGGTCACCATCTGGCTGCAAATATAGTGGCTGGGGCTTTGTTGGCACCATACAACGCCATGGATTTCGAGTTCCATGCCCAGGTGATTTAGACTGGGATTTTCACGGCGAAAATGCCATGCTGTCGGCGAAGTACTACAAAACGGTGACATCAGTGAGGCTCCGAAGCCCCCGTCGAGTTTCGATTTGATTTCAACTCCCCTGAATGCAATGCTTGTTTCGCGACAGAGACATCGACCATCGCCAAATTAGACACATGCGGGCGGTCCCCCGTTATTACTAAAGGAGTATAAACGACCCCTTGGCGCTCGCGAATCTCTCCACTTTACGTTCTAGACACAGTTGGTCCGGGCTCCCCGGCCGATCACTTCGGATGTAATACCGGGTTAAGGATACCGAAATTAAGTTGACAACGTCTGTTAGAGGTTTTAGAAGATAGCCTGTGGCCTGAGGGGCGTTGCACTTGGATTGGCTCCCGGTGGCGGAAATATATCTCCCGTCTGTCTGACAACGAGATTGGACAGCGAGCAGCCTGGCATGGAGCAAAGACACTCTAAGACACGGCGATAATGCACCGGGTACATCATGCATGATATCAGCGGATTGTTGCCAGCAGATGGGGAATGTCTATATTAAGATTAGGGCTGTGGAGTGAAGTCGATAGCTTGACCAGATACGGAGTTATACGGAGGTGTACGGTGATGCCTGAGACCTCGGACTGCATATTCTTTCATTCATATTATGATTCCCGACGAGGCTCGCGTTTGAAATTGTTTATGTATACTCCGTACCTAGGTATACTATACCCACACTCTGCCCCCAGGCCCTGGAGACCTCGGGAATTCTTCGGTCTTTCAGCACCACCTGGGCACAGGGACCTCGGGAGGCTCACTGAATCCATGATACCGTCAGATCACCCAGGTCTCTGACTCTGCTGGATCAAAGCCCGCTTGACTATCATACCAAGTCGATTCTTCAAAACCGGACTAGACTGCTCCTAGGGCTCGGCTCCGTGGCTTAATTAATCTTGTGGTCGCGCTTTGGCTCGGCGTTTGGGAATCTCTTTCGGAATCCGAGCTGGTGTTGAATGTGTCAAGACATTCTTCCAGGCTGCTGTTTTTCTTCTCGCTTCACTCACTATTTCTCCCCAAAGCCCGTACCGTCCATGGTAGGTATTCAAGTGCATTCGTATATCCTTCAAGACAATCCGTTCACCACTTTCACTTGACTTCACATTTTGATTTTTCAAGCAAGTCCATGTCTTATCATGACATGAATAATTGCATACAGTACAATTCAAATGAATGGACTGAAATGGTGAATAAAGTGGCAAGTAGTCCACGGGGGGCTATTTTGCATAGGAGGTGCCCTGGCTCCAATGGCGCAATGAAAACGCATGCGTTAGCACACAGGTATCAAGCACTCAAGCCAGGCACTTCCAAGTTGATCTCCAGCCTCCGAGGTTGTCTACACTGAATTGTAGAAAGTAGGGCCTCTGGAGATCATAGTCACGTGCCAGGGGATCTGTAGCCAATCAGCAGCTGCTTACGTTTAGCGCCAAGGGAAGTGCGATGCTTGGCAACAAATCTCTGCATTGTTGACGGACAGATTCACCACGGATATTGGATATTTGCATCAATTCGTGACCGTTGTAGTAGGTTGAGCTGTTTCCCGATTACTTCTCTTTTGGCTCTTTGCCAATCACCAACTCCGTTTGCCAATCCTCTGGAATTGAGCTTTCTTGATCTTCAAACTTCTGAAGCTTTGATACTCGATACCTCACCATGGAAGGCATTCAAGCGACCGAGGCCATCCAGCCTTACTCCAGCATGGCTGGAAAGCTGGACCCCAGACTTCTGAAGGCCCTAAACGTCATGGGCTTCAATGACATGACCCCCGTTCAACACCGTGTGTTGACGGAGCTTCCCAACTGGCGCAGTGACTGCCTCGTTCAGGCCAAGACAGGCACAGGAAAAACGCTGGCTTTCCTCCTCCCAGCATTGCATTGCTTGCTCAACGGAAACACACCCCCCAAGGGCAAAGTCGGCATCTTGATCATCACACCAACTCGAGAGCTTGCACAACAAATCGCAAAGTCATGTGATCAACTAACATCCCAGCTGGAAACACGCCTTGAATGTCACATCGCCGTCGGCGGCACTGCCCGCGCTTCGGCTCATACGGCGTTCATGAAGGGCTCACCTTCAATCCTCGTGGCCACCCCGGGACGACTGACCGACTACCTCTCTGAGACTCCTACTGCCAAGAAGCTCTCCAACATCCAGACCCTGGTTCTGGACGAAGCTGACACTATGCTGGAGAGTGGTTTCATTGCGGATGTCAAGCGAATCCTCCAACTGATTCCCCAAAAGAGCACCGGGTGGCAAGGAATGTGCTTCTCAGCCACTGTTCCTCCCAAGGTGAAGGACGTGGTCAACGTTGTGCTGCGAAGGGATTACACTAGCATTTCCACCATCGACCAGAACGAAGCACCGACACACGAGAGAGTGCCCCAGTACTCTGTGTTGATGCCATCCGTCAAGGATACCTTCACCACGCTTGCCTCTCTCCTCAAGCACGAAATCAAGAAGAACTCAAAGAAGATCATTGTTTTCGGAGTCACCGCCCACATGGTTGCTCTTCTGGCTGGAGTGTTCTGCAAGGGTATGGTTCATCTGAAGGTCTTTGAGATCCACTCCCGACTCAACCAAGGCGCTCGCACACGAACCACCAACCAATTCAAGGAGGCCGATGCTGGAATTCTGTTTGCGTCCGATGTCATCGGTCGTGGAATGGACTTCCCCAACGTCGATCTGGTCATCCAAGTTGGTCTGCCTTCCAACGGCGAGCAATACGTCCACCGTGTCGGTCGTACCGCCCGCGCCGGTGCCGATGGCCGCGCCATCATTCTCCTGACCGAAGGCGAGTCCTTCTTCATGAAGAACAACCGCCACCTTCCCATCAAGCCCCACCCCGACTCTGAGGCCATCAACGCGGCCGCTCCCGCCCTCTCCAAGGCTGTCATGGAAGCCATGTACACCATTGAAGAAGAATCCAAGCAGCGCGCTTACTCCTCCTTCATTGGGTTCTTCGCTGGATCCGGTCTCCTGCGACAACTGCGCCTCGACAAAGCTGGCTTGGTCCAACTTGCAAACGAAATGGCCGTGAAGGGTATGGGCTGCCCCGAGCCACCCCCAATGGACAAGAAGGTCATTGGCAAGATGGGATTGAAGGGAATCCCGGGATTCACCTACGCCGACCCCAATGACTCTGACCGCAAGGGCGGTGGCAGACAACGCAGCCGTTCTCAAACCGGTCGTGGAGGCCGCAACAAGAGCCGCGATGCACTCAGCCCTGGTGCTGGTCGCGGAGACAGAGGTGGTGTTGAGAAGAAGCGCGGCGGAGGTCGTGGCCGTGGTGGCCGTGGTGGTGGTCGTGGCAAGCCGAGATCCTAAGGCATTTTATTGATATCCCCAGGGCAAAAGGAGCACATTCTGCATTGTTTTCATAGAGCTCATAGAGTTACGATCAGTTCATTACACATTAATGACCAAATTACATGACGAATCTAATCGAGATGCCTCCATAGTAAAATAGTAATTGCCAGAGTGTCATGAGTGATGTTGACAGTTGTTCGCGTCGATGGTCAGGTGATTGCGGATCGAACATTCAGAGCTTCGCTTCTTAACGTCGATCTTCAACTCTCACAGTCTGTATAGACAATCAGCATGGATCCGAGCTACAAAGCTCGCAAGGAGGCATTCGTGTCCAACCTTGCCGGAAGCACCATTTGGGAAATCAACACAGTCACCCTAGTTGCTTCAGTAAGATGCCCCAATCTCAATTGCGATCAATTCATTCTGACTGAACTCTTTCCAGACATCTGTCCTTCTCTGGTCAGCACTTCAATCCCGGCTGTCATTCTTCACGCCGTACGGTCCCGCCGCGATCGCAGCCGACTTTATCCTCAACGTACTAGCTATCTTGTTCGCGACGACCGCATACTCGTCCGCACCGCTCCTCCTCAATATCTTCCTCGTGTCCCCTGCCGTGCTTCTCTTCCTCACTCGACACACCCAGCGCACTCCCCAAAAAGCCAAGCCACCTCGCAAATCCAAGGCCAAAGATGAATCCTCCGAAGACCAGTTGGCCCTGCCCGTCCACCCGTTCCTGACCACATATCGCGCCGCCATGATGATCGTCACTTGTGTCGCGATTCTGGCAGTCGACTTCCGTGCATTCCCCCGTCGCTTCGCCAAGGTTGAGAACTGGGGAACCTCTTTGATGGACCTCGGCGTTGGCTCGTTCGTGTTCTCTGCGGGAGTTGTCTCTGCGCGCGCAGTCCTGAAGGGCCGCAACTCGAAGACTCCAAAGGCTGCTTTGCACAAGAGATTGATTGGCTCTGCTCGGCACTCCATCCCTCTGCTTGTGCTGGGGCTCATTCGGCTGTGGAGCGTGAAGGGACTCGACTACGCCGAGCATGTGACGGAGTATGGCGTACACTGGAACTTCTTCTTCACACTTGGCTTCTTGCCTCCGTTTGTCGAGCTATTTGACTCGCTGACGACCTTGATCCCTTCATACGAGGTGCTAGCGCTTTTGACGGCAGTCTTGTATCAAGTTGCTTTGGAGTCGACTGATCTCAAGCGCTACATTCTCGTGGCACCCCGGGGACCAGACCTGCTGTCAAAGAACCGCGAGGGAGTCTTCTCTTTCATCGGGTACTTTGCCATCTTCCTCGCGGGACGCGGTGTTGGAATCCGCATCATCCCCCGAGGCACTTCGGCGACTAAGACGCCACAGCAAGCACGCAAATCCGTGTTGCAAAGCTTGATTCTCCAGGGATTGTTCTGGTCGACGATCTTCTTCTTCAACTCCACCTATGCATTTGGCTACGGCGCCAACATCCCCGTGTCGCGCCGGCTTGCCAATATGCCATATGTATTGTGGGTTTCTGCATTCAACAGTGTCCAACTCTTCTTGTTCTGCTTGACCGAGACTGTTTTCTTCCCGGCAGTCCATCGCGCAACCACCAAGGAAAGTGAGGCGGAGCAAGCCAAATTCGCGACCAGCCCGGTTCTCCACGCCTTCAACCGTGGAGGACTTGCACTCTTCCTGATTGCCAACCTGCTGACTGGAGCGGTGAATCTGAGCATTCCAACCTTGGATATGAACACACCACAGGCCATGGGCATCTTGATTGTCTATGCGGCGGTCCTGACAGGTGCTGCCCTGGCCATGGATAAGTACAACATCAAGTTGAGCTTGTAAATGTAAATTGGGTACTATAGAATACAAAATATCCATATATGAACACATATATACATACTATCCGTGTCAAATGTCTTCACAGTAACGTGTAGATCGGAGCTGTTAAGCCGCGGCATGATATCATCGGGGATATTCCCTTCCCGACCTTCGAAAGGTAGTGTGTTGTTTTCCCAACTGCACATCCCCGATCATGAATGAGCAGTCTTTTCTCAATTATCCTCCACCCCGTGAGGGGCCCAATGTCCCATACAAGCATGAGGACCAGGTCATTCCAGTGTTCCGCGGAAGACCCCTTGCGATCGGCGCGACGTTGTATGCAGCCTCGGCCAGACTGCCAGACCATGCTAATACTGCGGATTGACCTTAGAATTCATAACATCGATTTTCTCCAGAGTTACTTCTGGCGCAATGCCGGCTTTGGGGTGATACACGATATCCCCAACCTGGGCCGATACGCCGGCCGATACGACCCGACCGTGATACCTGTCGAGAGCGCGAAGGCGGGCTCAGCGGCATCGATAACATCTGCCACCGTGTCGCGCAGAAAAGGCAGCCAGGGATACTACACATCTGCGGATTACCATGCGCTCTACTTGACAGGGGAACTGACCCCGATCGTCGTCGCCGAGACATTGCTGCCCATGATCCGTCGCGACTCCCGGCCTCCCGGAAGACACTCCACTGCCTTCCTCGAATCCCAGGCTGAGGCGATTCACGCAGCAGCACAAGCCTCTACCGATCGATACAAGGCCGGCAAGCCGTTGGGGCCACTGGATGGTGTCCCTGTCGCAGTTAAAGACGAGGTGGATCTCACGGGCTACAAACGCACTCTAGGAACGAAGCTGGACTTCAAGCATGAGTCCGGCGGGACCTCATGGTGTGTGAAGCAGTGGATTGATGCGGGAGCTATAATCATCGGGAAGACCAGCATGCACGAGCTGGGCCTAGACACGAACAACAACAACCCCAACTACGGAACACCCAAAAATCCCCACAATAAGGAGTACTATTGCGGAGGCTCTTCTGGTGGATCTGGATATGCTGTTGGAGCTGGCCTCGTGCCATTTGCCCTTGGTGCTGATGGTGGTGGTTCCATTCGCATCCCATCGTCCTTCTGTGGTATTTGGGGGTTGAAGCCTTCCCATGGGCGAGTGTCCGGGGCGCCATCTCAAAGCTTAGCACCGACTGTGGGTGTACTCGGGCCAATGGCTTCAAGTATTGATGATCTCGCATTGGCATATCGCACCATGGCTGCCCCTGCACCAGCGTCAGAAGACCCCATTTCATCGCAGTTCCCTTATCCTCAGCTCCCTCAGCCAGACACCAAGAGGACGAAGACAATTGGAGTGGTCCGCGACTGGATCGATCGAGCTGAAGCTCCTGTGCGTGCCGTGTTTGACAGAGCTCTGGATTACTACCGCGGGGAAGGCTACAACGTCATCGATATCAAAATTCCCTACCTTGTTGAAGGTCAGCGCGCTCACGTCCTGACTATCATGGCAGAGATTGCATCCGGTGTTGATGCGAGTAAGATCAATCAACTCACCGCACCAAATAAAGTGCTGGTTTCATTGGGGATGTGGCAGATCACCGCACAAGACTTGCTCGCTGCCCAGAGGCTGCGGAATCTTCTCATGACACATCTAGCTCATCTTTTCAAAACCCACCCCGGACTCCAGATTGTCTCGCCTACTACTCCGATCCCTGGGTGGCACATTGACGGTGGTGAATCAGATCTCTCCTATGGCTTGTCTGACGGCAAGGCTTCCGTTCGGAACATGGAGTATGTCTGGTTGGCCAACTTTACTGGATGCCCTGCCATTAGCTGTCCTGCGGGATACGCCGACAGTGGTGTCCCCATTGGTGTTATGGCTATGGGTGAATGGGGCACAGAAGAGGGTTTAATTGCCTTTGCGCGGGATGGTGAGGCTATCTTGGATCTACCTGGTGCTCGTCCTCCTGTCGAGGGTGCAGCTGCTTCGGCGGCTACGGGTCTCCGTGTTCCCTCTGATGATCTTGCTATCTGGGAAGATATCATTGCGCAGTCAAAGTAGAGACAAGCCATTTCTAACCTGGTAAAATGATATACATAGCCCTTGTACAAACTGGTGAGGACAAACTACTCCTTCGGTCCATCCGGTCCATTCGGGTGCGCTGGCCGCCTGCTGTTTGGCAGCACTTTAAGCACGCCATCTTTCGCGAAGTAGTTGTTGAGGTAGAACACTGTGGATGTCTGGTCAGGATTGAACACATCCAACTTCGGTTTGGTCAGGACTTACCTCGTGCAACGATGGCGAATGTATCGCAGTTCTTCCATTTCAAGTCCGAGCCCGAGAGCTCCTTACACCCGCTATATTCATATACTTCGCTCTTTCCGTCGCCCAGGGATCGTGGGACTGGATCAAAAAGTCAGTATCGCTTCATGATTCGTCGGGAATCACTCACATTGATTGAAATTCCCCACATGGATCAGCTCATGCGTGAAGATGGAGCTGATCGACCGGGCCAGAATATCCACACCCTTGCCGACAATATTACCAGTATTCAATTGACTGAATGTCGCCGGCTGGTTGAGCCCGGTGCCATCTTTTTTGCAGAGCATGATCACATTTTTGCGTTCGGCTTTGTATGCAGTAGCATATACAACATCGCAGGGAGTTTGATTCGGTCCCGGGGCAGGGTTATATCGCACGTCTTGATACCCTCGGTCTTGATCTCTGTATACGCCTGTGGAGATTTTCTTCAAGTGATCATCTCCACAAACAATGGTGAGATCATCCACTGATTCCGAATAGTCTCCTGCGACCTTAGATGCTGGGCCAAGAGCATCTGGGCGCATGCATTAGCTATCGTGATGCAAGGTAGCAACAAGCAACTTACTGGTGATGGCCTCATACGCCTCGGCGCCGTGATTCTGGAAGAGGTCGTCGAGAATACTGCGTCGTCCCTGGTCCTTGCACGTCTCATACATCGATTGCGGTTCATTGCCCATCTCGTGGCTTCTCTCCCACATTGCACAGGCGGTTCCAGTGAGACTTGACCAGCTGAGGATATTCTTGGCTTCTTCCATCGCGGCTTTGATGTTCTCGCGATAACCACCACAATCGCAGCTGCTGTGGATGTTGTATGCGAGAGATTGGGAAGCTGCTCCTAGCAGGAGAGCTACCGAGAAGGACTTCATCGTTTCCAAGAGAAATAAACACCAGACACAAGAAATGAAGAGGTCAGAAGAAGTTCGGCCTCGATTGAAATGGAAACTGTGCTTTTTTCTGTGATTCCCAGGACTCGAAATGTACGTTGGACATTATCCCGTGCTTATCCATTCGACCTTCTATACATTAAGGATCGCATAGCCCACCGCAGATCCACCTGCACTGAGCAATGAACGTCCGTGCCATAACATGATACCCCGTCTCTTTTGGGGGCCATGCGGCTGTATTTTCACACGGAGTGGAGAGCGGGACGTTGGGACTGGCATGAGATGCGGCAACGATCGTCTCTATGTTTTCTGCGCCCGAACAAAACCCGAACAGGCCAATGATGATCCTCGACTTGAGGTATGAATTGCCCGCTAGAGAGGAAGCAGCGCCACTAGGGCTGCAGATGTCGCATGGGGGCGAAGCTTATGGGAGGCCTATGGGCTGGTTTCAACCCCCTGCCAAGAGCCCATCTGACAGTGGGGGCCGTTACATGCAGCGAGAATTCAAATCATGCAGGACCAGGCACCAGAACGGTAAAAATTTCAGTCTGACAGGGGTATCCAGGGCAGAATATCGTCTATATCAACCCGTGGGGGCGGTTGATCGACACCACATCAGCCTGTCAGACGCCTATCATTTCTGTTTTGGACTCTTCACTCCCTGCAGAACTAATTTCCCGAGGCTTCGAGGAATAATCACTCAGCCGTTTGAGGGTCTAACGACGACTTTTGCAACGGAACTCAGCGGGGGGCCTGACATCGGTGGAGGCTGTTCGTGCATCCCGTCCTCGATGTTGCACGTTAATAGCTCATTTCCCGGCACTTTGGGGGCGAAAGGATGACGGGACGAACATCCCAAATTAACAGAAAAGAAGCCCTTTCCTGCGTTGGAGGCTTCTCAAGCATCCTCGTCCACCGCAAGACACAATGGTGAACATGAGGGCTTTCGTCTTCGGCTTGCTTCTCTTGGAAGCCACTGCCATCCCTCAGGGGAATCCATCTTCCAGGAGCCTGAGTTCAACTCAGATTCAATCTTCTAGTCATGGCTCTGTCATCCCTTCGAGCTCTTCGTCTTCGGTAGAGCCGACAAGCTCGACTGAGGCTTCCAACACACCTAGTTCAACCCCCTCGAGTGACTTGCCATCTTCTGATAGCTCAATTATCTCCACTGGGTCTTCGTCTAGATTTGAGACCTCGACAGCGATCATTCCAACCGGAAATCCCAGCACTACACCTGCTGCTCCGACAACCAGACCATCCAGTCAATCTTCTGTTGCAAGCTCTTCTGTGGAAAGCTCCTCTGGAAGTAGCTCTGCTCCAAGCTCTTCTGCCAATGAGTCTTCGTCGGCCGGCTCTTCGACAGCGGAGCCATCGTCACAATCCACACCTGCATCTTCTCTACCAGGAAGCTCTACTCAAGGCTCATCGACTCCAGTAGCCACGCCAACTGCTACTTCAACTCCCGGATCTAGCACTCCTGGGTCGTCTTCCACACCTGGGTCTTCCACCGCCGAATCCTCTGTGCCGGGAAGCTCAACTCAAGACTCATCGACCCCAGTAGCTACACCAACTGCTACTTCAACCCCCGGATCTAGCACCCCTGGGTCGTCTTCCACACCTGGGTCTTCCACCGCCGAATCCTCTGTGCCGGGAAGCTCAACTCAAGACTCATCGACCCCAGTAGCTACACCAACTACTACTTCAACTCCTGGATCTACTACACCGGGGTCTAGTAGTCCTGCATCTTCTAGTCCTGGCTCGTCCACGCCTGAATCCTCTGCAGGAACATCTACGCAAAGCTCATCAGCATCAGTGCCCCCTTCGAGTACATCAACGCCGGGGTCTTCCAGTGGAGGCACATCGCAAACCGAGTCATCAAGTGCGGCATCCTCAACATCTGGGCCATCTACCACTTCGACTTCTGAAGACTCTAGCTCCACGGATGCTTCCGAAAGCACTACCTCGTCGGACTCGGCTCTTCCAATTATCACTATAACATCACTGTCTACCTCGTCAGTCAGTACAGTGACAGGGGTTACCAAAAACACTGTCATCGAGACAACCGACAAAGAAGGCCACCATACCGTGGTTCCCTTCTTATGGCACTGTTGGTTCTGCGGTGGCGGCGGACTCTTTGCTTGGGGAGTTGGTAAGTCATTTTGACAAAATGCATGCTATTCACAGACTGTCTCTAACAATCTCAAGGTCCGGACCCTGGTATCTATCCTCCTCCTCCAGATCCCCCTATTACGAATTGGCCAACGATTACCATTGGTCCTGACAGGCTCCCAACCCCTGAGCCCGAGTCTACTGCTTCTCAGCCTACATCGACCGAGACATCGTGCACATCTACTTCGACAGTGACAAACACATGGGCCTCATGTACATCTGTCACCAGTGGCACCTCATCCGGTACCCCGATTCTCACCGAAAGCTGCACCACCAGTACCTCTGTGGCGAGTGGTTGTACTATCACAGCAACAGATACAACAACAACTGCCACTGCCGAGTGCACCACCAAGACAGTGACCGACAGCTGGGTCTCTTGTACGCCTGTTCCAACAACCACTAGTTCCGGCACCCCGTTGTACAGCACGAGCTGTGTTACAAGCACGTCTGTAGTGACTGGCTGCAGTGCTACACCCTCTTCGTCATCCACTATGGCAACCACAACCCCGTCGTCTTGTAGGATTGCCTCGACGGCAAGCCCCTTTGCTACTCTGACGGATCCCATCCCTGATGCTCCTGACACAACTTCCACTCCGGAATCCTCGTCGACGAGCAGTCGTCCCGCGTCGAGTAGCTCCGTCACTGTCACTTCTTCCTCAGCATCCCCGAGTACTTCTTCCAACAGCACTCCATCAAGTACCCAGCCGCCAACCTCGACCTCATCGGGTTCTTCAAGCACCAGTTCAACTAGCGGACAATCATCAAGCTCGAGCTCAAGCTCAAGCTCAGGCTCTTCGACTATCACCTCATCCAGCACATCCTCATCAACCAGCGGGTCGGCGTCTCCAACAGCCACAAAGTCTTGCACCGGGGGCGACGGACTAACCTACCCAGTCTCTCTTCTTAACACAGAGGGCTCCACATCCGGGAACCTAGACAAGTTCTGCATCAAAGCCGCAAGCCACACAGACTGGCCATACAAGCAAACCTTCGATGGTGAATATGCCGGCGACACCAAAGCTGTAATGGAAATCTCAACTCAAGACGGTTGCACCCCTCCGTACGACGGACAAGTCTCAGCCGATTACTGCAAAGAGTACATGAACCTCCTTGCCAACGACTGTGACACCGACAGTGGCAACAAGCATGGCGGAACAGTCTCGACCGACGAGTGCTATATCTTCAGTATGAGCGTGACATCCGAATCCAAGCTCAGCTGCAAGGGTGGCGATGGCCAGACGTATCCGGTCGAGCTATTGAATGGAAATGATAGAAGGTCCGGTATCATGGACAACTTCTGTACGAATATTGAGGCGAATACGTGGGATGGGTTCCATGAGGATTTCACGGGCAGCGGGGAGACTACCAATCTGTGCACAATCACTCTTAACATGGACAACTGTGCTGACGATATGACGATCTCGCATGATGAGTGTATGAACTATGTTGGGCAGATTGCTAACAACTGCGACACTGACAGTGGAGACAAGCATGGAGGGCTCTTCGACGTCGGGAACTGCATGTCTTTCAATATGACAGTGTATGACCCGTCGGATGCCTAGTGAAGAATTGGGCAGTCTTGTATGCTCTACTCAAATCGATTAACTCAAATAACACGACAGTGTACTTAAGACCCCCTTCTATGGTACATAATCAACGCTGTAAAGACGCAAAAGACAAAATTACCTCCCCATAAGAACCTCCATGTTGCAATCATATCCATATGCCCTCGGTGGGATCAGGGAGGAGGAATTCACATCCCAGATGTGCCGTTTCGCCACGCTCCTTGAGCTCCTTGAGAATCTGCTCTCCAGGCGGAGGACCATCCGTGAGATTCTCCTTGATATGAATGATGTAAATCTTCAAACCCTCCAGCGGAAGGGGGCTAACATCAATCCAGGATTCAGGATTCGGCGCATCCAAGACATCAGCATGATCGCCACCATCCCCATAGTCCTGTGCATCCGATCGAGGCAATCGAGGGATCTCAAAATAATCACCAGGATGAGACCGGGGCTCCAGCCTATCCCCCGAAGTGCTCTGACTACGCTTCGAACGCGGACTCACTTGCTCGCTGCCAGTTTCGATGGGGACTATGGAGTCGCGCTTGCGCTTCTTCTCGCCTAGGTTCCCGTCGCGCACGTTCATAACTTTGTTGGCTAGCACGCTGAGCTCGGCCACGAGATGGCGCGGACACATGTGGCCGTACAGGTATCTGTCGTCTATGCTGTCGTTGTAGGAGCATTCGATAAAGATCGCTCGGAGCTTGCCGTTGGCTATTTTTGGTGCGGCGGCTTCCCAGACGAGCTTGTTGTGTCCTTCCTGGGATACGGAGTCGGGCTCGACGTCGCCGAATACTATTATCTCATCGCCGGAGCGGTGGTCGCGTAGGAAGAAAGCCGAGCTTTCGACCGTTGCCATAGCGGGTTCTTTGTTGCTAGATGGAAGCATGCGCGGGGAGCGAGCGGGTGAATAGAAGCTATCCAATATCAGTTTGTTCTTTCGTTAAATCAGTGACTCTGCCTTACCTTCCATCGGTGTGATCGACCGAGATTGCCCTGGATGGAAGCATCAGCTGATGCTCAGCAAATACCGTGCTTCCAACCCGATGGTGCGTTCCAGTTTCCGGGTGATATCGCTGCTTGCACCGGCCGTGGCTGACGCTGAGACATTTAGTCAACAGCCCATTACAGGCTCGAACATAGCCTCTGGTCTCCCCGCGACCGAATCTCGGATTCCCGCCCTCCACCAAGCGCTGATAAGTGAGCAGGCCAGCACCTCCGTCCTCATCCGACAAATTAGGCCAAATCACATCATTGAACATGTGGTTTTTGATAGCGGACAACACCGAGGGCAGGGCAGCCACAGACTTGGGACCATTTCCAGCCTCCAGGATCGGGGTATTGATGGCCAACCCGGCAATATGGTCCAGATGAGGATGGGTGATGAGGACTGCCCCGATCAGTTCCCGGAAAACATGGGCTCCGTTTGCCTGTGGGGTCTTGCTCGGCAGCTCCAGCCCCTTAAAGGGCCCACTTGTCATGACGCCTTCCTCATTCGTGCAATCGGGCATGTAGCGCTCCAACAATCGGATGATCCCCGCCAGCAGGGTACCTGCATCCACAGCCACGACTGATTCGGGGGCCCAGTGTGTGGATGTTGAGCGGACCAGAATGCCGGTGACGCTATCTTCGCGGGGTCCACCTGTCGGTCCCTATTGCAATCAGCATACGGAGTACGGAGTAGATTCAGTGCGCAGGGATGCCAGGACCCAAGACATCTCAGCGTCAACACGTGACGGGCATCGACTTACCAAGACAATGACATGGAATGCGGGCCCGTTTGCCATTTTGTCGGACCGTTGAGACATGATGTACGGAGGGAAGCTCATGATGTAGTCAAGACCTGATCTGTCTCACCGCGGAGTAAATCGATTTGAAGAACACGTGTGCGACAGATTCAGCGATCAACACATGTGCGACCTGCACTGAGACAAGTGGTGGTTTTTCAGAGTCGCAACAGGATTCCGTGCAGATCAGAGACCTGAGAGAGAGAATCCTCGTATCGCCGGGGAGAGCCACATATGCAAGCGAGCAGTGGCAATTCCGTGGGGGCGAGTGGAGATTGGAGATCTGGGGATTTGAAGTTCAAAGAAAACAAAGATCACAGATTCGAGGGCTTGGCGATCCTGTGGGGGCCAAGTATATATTTGTCTCTGATATAGACGATATATACAGTGTCTGAAGGATAATCACTTTGTCTGTTTCACATGCACACTATAGTTTCATACTAGGTAGTAGCCAAAATGAAGCATTTCAGCTGAACAGATCAAGGGCATTTTTAATGTTTACAACAGAATCCGAGAAAATGAGTGTATTGGCCCGAAGGCAGTGAAAAAAACTCCTAAAGCCCATAACAAAGAAATCCTGATAACACCATCCGTGAACCCGCTAAAACAACAAAGGTATGATCAGACAAAGCCTCTCATGCAGAGATTATGTTCAAAAGTGGGGGTATAAATTCGCAATCATTGGTTGCTTTGGTGCGTGTTCAGATCCCGTTCAACCACAGTGTCGTAGCTGGGAAGATGTGAACCTGAATCGGGCTCATGGCGAGACCCGCCAGTGCCCTGGGGAGGGAACTCAAGAGAGACATCACTGCCTCTGCGACTGCCATCGGGGCTGGAATACTCGGGAGGAGGAACCTCCGCAGCATCATCCTGGATACCAACGGTAGCTTCTTCATCCCCCAGAGCAAATCGGCTGGACCCCTCACCAGCATCTTCAAGAGATGGGATGTGAGTCAGCTGAGCAAGGGAAATGTCAGTCGGAGATCGAGCAGGCCCGGGGCTGGGCACGGGAGGGATCCGAACACTGGAGCCCGAGGCCGCATAGTCCGCGTTCTGATATACGCGTTGAGAGATTTGAGCCGCACTCTCGCGACCCGACTCAAGGAGAATGCTGCCTTGCTCGCTGCCGTACGGTGGGGGCGGGGCCAGGCTGCCCGTCATGGGGGCCAAGCCCCATTTCTTGACATTTCCTTCAATAAAGACGAACCCCATTTGACCAAAGTTGACATGGATCGTACAAGGGCCGTTGGCCCCGATGGTAGGGAAGAGGTTTTGGGAGCGATAGTTGTGGGCCACATCCTCCAGCTTCTTGCCGTTGCGGGTGAAGAAGACGGTCCCGGACCGGGGTCGGTAGCCAACGCCAATCACATCGCCTTGTAGGAGAGGAGGTCCGTAGGGGGTGGCATTGAAGGGTTGATTTACTCTGCGGTGTCCGGTCGATTGATAGGCGACCGAGGATTTGTGGAAGCCTGACTGTTGTTAGCGCGGTCTCACCCAGCCCATTGACGGTCACATACCAGGCATCCGGAAAAGAGGATATGGTTTGGTAGTCACACCGATGCCGATCATTGTCGAGTCGGGCTTGTCGTATATCTTCGCCTCCCAGTAGTAAACCTCATTTTGTTTGGGCAGGGGCAGATTGGTCTGCACACTGCACTCTGAGTCGTAGAATTCGATCTCCGTCCGGCCCTCCACGAAGCAATTTGCGATTTCCAGTTCTGGTTGGAACTCCCATGCAGACACACCCTTCTCTTGGATGGCGAGGAATTGTGAAAGTGAGATATCGGTCTGTACTGATTCGGGCGGGTTTCCTTGAACAAAGGCTGGCAGGAGTTAGTCAAGTGAGACAAATCCATAAACAGAGTCCCACGCCGGCTTACCTTTCGCTCGTAAGTATTCCGACCGCGCCAAGTCGTCCATTGACTCTAGCGCCGCCTCCTCTTCGCGCGCAAACGCCTGCTCATCGTCGAACTCACCGGGCCGCCCAATGCGATCCAGCATAATCCGCCCCCGGCGGGTATATTTGAAAAAGAAAAAGATCGCTAAGACGACAAATGCGACGGCGGCGGATCCGAACGCGGACAGGATCCCAATCAGGATGCCTTTGCCGGTCGAGCCGGTCGAGTTGCCACTGGCGGTGAGCCTAGGCTCCGGGCGGAGTTCCATCGAGAATGAAGACAGCACATTCTGGAAGTTCTCTTGGATTTGCTGCTGGGAGAGGAGAGGGTCGGATGGGAGAGGTACTGGTGAGCCGATCGGTGACGTCGTCGGGTTGCCTATCACTGTTCGCAGTGTCGAAGGTAGGTCTGCGAGCGCGCTGCTCGAAGCCTCATAGCCCTGCATCGTTCATTGACAGGTAATCACGGATACGAGAGATATAGAGAGATATGAGATATAAAGAGTAAATGGCAGAAGGCAGAAGGTGAGAAAGAGAGATAAGTGGGTGCGGATAGAAAAGGCGGGTTATCTAAGACGCTTTCGGCAGGGTGGAGTGTCTCGCCTTTGCACTCTATACTCTTCCCCTCTTGTCTCCTTGCTTCCACCCCTCTGGCCTCTGTAATGCGTACAGGTCAAGCTCGCCCCTTGGCGGACACCATGATTCACTTTGATGCCTATAACATCCGCCTGGATACGCCTACCTCCTGCGATAAGTACCCAGGTCAGTGCTAACGCCGCAAGGCCCGGCCTTGCCCTTCGCCCTTCGGCAGCTTCCACCTTCTACCGGCACGGCTGACGAGCGCTAGCCAAGCAACATGCAAGAAGGGTCGCCCAGAAGCTTGGAGCTTCACAGGGCTTGATCTTCCTGTCCGGGCAGCCTACGATCAACCTGCGGGACTCAGACCAATCACGTCCATTCCGACAACGGCGCTACTTCTACTACCTGAGCGGCGCCGACGAGGCCGACTGCGCCCTGACCTACGATATTGAGCGGGATCTCCTCACTCTCTTCGTGCCCGATTTCGACCTCCACCGCGCCATCTGGATGGGGCCGACCCTGTCGCGGGAGGAAGCACAAGACCGATACGACGTGGACTACGTCAGATACCACACCTCGCTCCAGTATGAGCTACAAGAATGGCTGGATGACCGCAAGCAGGGCAGTGAGCTGTACCTGATCCATGAATCGGAGAAGCCCAACACTCTACCCAAAGACCTAACCGTGAACCTTGCAAGCCTGATGCCTGCTATGAACGCGGCACGAGGCATCAAGGACGAGTACGAGATCCGTATGATCCGCAAGGCCAACAGGGTCTCTGGGCTCGCGCACCGCAAGATATTAGAAAGTATCAAGTCTTTCTCTAATGAGTCGCAAATTGAAGGGTCATTCCTAGACACCTGTATCTCGCACGGTGCCCGCAATCAAGCATACCAAATCATCGCCGCATCTGGGCCGAATGCAGCAGTCTTGCACTATGATCGGAATAACGAGTCCCTTCACAAGAAGCCGCTCGTCTGCCTCGATGCTGGTGCAGAATGGAACTGCTATGCAAGTGATGTAACGCGAACTTTCCCGCTGACGGGTGAATGGCCCAGCAAGTACGTGCGCGACATCTACAAGTTGGTCGAGCGCATGCAAGAGGAAACCATCCGCCGGATCGGAAAGGGGGTGCGCTATCGCTCACTTCATGATCTCGCACATGACATTGCAATCGAGGGACTGCTGGCCCTTGGTGTGCTGCAGGGCGCAGTCGACGAGGTCCGCGATTCTGGCGCATCCAAGGTGTTCTTCCCCCATGGCCTGGGCCACCACGTTGGTCTCGAAGTTCACGATGTCTCCGAGGGATCCATCATGGCGCTTGGCGCCTCTCGTCGTCAGCATTGGTCATCTGATTACCTCTCGCCCTGCACCCTCTCTGCGCCCTTGTTGGAGGAGGGCATGGTGGTCACTGTTGAGCCGGGACTTTACTTCTCTCCTTTGGCTCTGAACAATGCGCGCAAGCAGCCTTGTGCTAAGTATATTAACTTTGATGTTGCAGAGGAGTATGTACATATTGGTGGTGTCCGTATTGAGGATGATATTCTCGTGACTGCTACTGGCTATGAGAATCTGACTACCGCCCCCAAGGGCGAAGAAATGCTCGCCGTCATTCGGGGATCTGCATAGCGATTGATCTTGATACAGCATATGAGCGGGCGACCCTATTTTGCATCGGAGATTTCCAGCATTTAACATCTTTTGGCCATTTTCATCCTATATTATCTTCTTTTTCGTTCTTTTTGTAAACTTAATGTCTCGGGACGCCGTTGTATCTAGTGTCTGTGACGCTATACGAAAACACAGGTCATTGAAATCACCGAAGAGCCAGGGTCTGGTCAACTCCCGTGTATATATATAAAGAATTTTAATCATTACGTTACAAAGGCGAGGTTACAAGATGGAGTCTTTAGACTTGAAGATGTTGCTTTATTTTTGGTATTCAGCCCTAGAGGGCACATGAACTGTATCAACGTGCATGAGCCTCTAAAATTGACCAAGGTATCAAAGCTGGAGTCAACAGGATTGATATCCCACAACTTGGATCTCATGCTCATTGATTGGAGACTCTCTTCATGTTGGGGCTGTTCCATATGCCACGTCCGTCAATATTCAGCGATGTAAGACGAAGCCGGACCCATCCAAGGCATATTTCGAATTGTCGGAACGTGGAAATCTTTCGTTCGATTGATTTACTCGCAGAAGATGCGGAGGTTGATTCGGAGCAAGGTGCGCCAATAGACATGAAATCATAGGGCCCGCTCACTATGGTATCGTTAGCGTTGCAAGATGAAATGAACAGGGAGTTACTCACTAGTGGGGGAGCTCGTAGCCCCGTTAGCATCTTCGTGAACTTGAACGGCCACCGTGGTATATTTCGAATTGTTGTAACGTGGAAATCTTTTGTTCGAATAAGGCATTCGCGGAGGAGGTAAGTCGAATCGTGGCTCGAAGCAAGCTATGCCGATTGACCTGAAGTCACAAGACCCGCCACGGCATAGCTCGCAGTTACCGCAATCTGCAATGCTCGATGATAATCGCGGAGGTAGGATAGAGGATCGAAGCAAGCTATACCGATTGACCTGAAGCCCTACGGCCCGCCACGGCATAGCTCACAATTGTCGCAATCTCGAAGTCAAGGAAGGAAATCTCGTAGGTAGGGTGGTTTGGAATAAGCAATACCGATTGACCTGAAGTCATACGACCCGCCACGGTATTGCCTACTTGCGTTGAGGTGTCGTGTTAAGTCCAAGCAAGCTATGCCGATTGACCTGAAGTCCTAAGACCCGCCACGGCACAACCCACAGTTGGTGAACATAGAAGCGAAGATCGAACGACGGAAAGTGGAATTTCGAAGTGAGCCATGCCGATTGACCTGAAGCCTTAGCCCGCCACAGCATAGCCCACAGATGGTGTGAATATACGGAAACGAAGATGGAACGAAGGAAACGAAGTTGAAATCGAATGTGAGCCATGCCGGTTGTCCTGAAGCCTTAGCCCGCCGCGACACAGCCCACGAATGGTGAATAGGAAACGAAGATCGAACGCGAGAACGGAAATGATGCTTATATCGAATATGAGCCATGCCGATTGACCTGAAGCCTAAGCCCGCCACGGCACAGCCCATATTGTGATGGATGCGGAAACGAAGATCGAACGAAGGAAACGAAGTTGAAATCGAAGTGAGCCATGCCGATTGACCTGAAGCCTAAGCCCGCCACGGCATAGCCCACAGTGGGTGAATACGGAATCGAAGATGGAACGCGAATACGGAAATCGAAGTTGAGAAAGAATGTAAGCTATGCCGATTGACCTGAAGCCCGAAGGCCCGCCACGACATAGCTCACAGTTGGGTGGATGCGGAAACGATGAAAGAACGTGAATACAGAGATCGAAGGTGAGGTCGAAGTAAGCTATGCCGATTGACCTGAAGCCAAAGCCCGCCACGGCAATGCTCACAATTGTTGCAACTTTCGAAGCCAAGGAACGCGATCTCGAAGGTAAGGTTGATCGAAGTAAGCCATGCCGATTGACCTGAAGTCAGAAGACCCGCCACGGCACAGCCCACTGTGGGTGAATGCGAAAACGGAGAACGAACATGAATACGGAAACGAAACTGATATCGAATGTGAGCCATGCCGATTGTCCTGAAGCCTTAGCCCGCCACGACACAGCCCACAAATGGTGAATAGGAAACGAATTTCGAACGCGAAAGCGGAAATCAAAGATAAGGTTGAAGCAAGCTATGCCGATTGCCCTGAAGCCCTAAGACCCGCCACGGCATAGCTCACAGTGGTGCGAATGCTAAATATGACAACTAAACGTGAAACCAGGAATGTGGAATTTAAATGTGAGCTATGCCGATTGACCTGAAGTCCTAAAACCCGCCACGGCACAGCTCACAGGTGGCGGCATGTCGGTAATGGGGATCGAACGTCATGCGGAAATCGAAGGTTAACCATGCCGATTGTCCTGAAGCCGAAGCCCGCCACGACATAGCCCACAGATGGTGAACAGGAAAACGAAGATCGAAGGTGAGAACGGAAATCGACGTGAGCCATGTCGATGCCATGTCGATTGACCTGAGGCCTTAGCCCGCCACGACACAGCTGCAATTGACAACTCGAACTGAAAGATGCGCATAAACAAACATTCGAAGGCAAAGCACAGATAAAGCATAATAGTTGACTGAGATAGAACGTCAACGAGGAATTCTTTTTTTCTTTTTGTTTTGTTGTTTTTTTTTTTGTTGTTTTTCTTTTTGTTGTTTTTTTTTTTGTTGTTTTTTCTTTTTCTTTTTCTTTTTTTTTTTTTTTTTCTGTTTTTTTTTTTTTTTTCAAGCAGAAGACGGCATACGAGATGCGCATTAGTGACTGGAGTTCAGACGTGTGCTCTTCC